GGTGAAGAGTTTGTATGAATTTGAATTTTTATGAAGGAGATATAGGTATTCAAAGTTAAGGTGTCAAATTTGTACCTACTGTCACTCTTTGGAGCATAACATATGCGTACGGAGAGCAATGAAATATCAGCAACTAGAGTTGGAGAGAATACTTTTTTGGCTATATTTTATATATACATTTTGATGAATTTCAAGTCTAGATGAAGGAGTTATAGGGCATTGAAGATAGTACATGTAATTCAAAGACAGTAAGTGAGTCATTTTGTTGATAGTAATGTTTGGAGCCATAGCTTGAGTTTTTGGATGAATTTTTGGCTCACATAAGTGTGAGTTATTAAGTTAAAAAGCTATATATCAATGTTTCATGGTATTTGAGTACTTATTTTGTGAGATATAAAGAAATTATTATGTAGGTGTATATAAGCTAGGGTTTAAAGCTACTGTTAGGATTTTAGTGATATCTCAAGATCCGTAATGAATTTGTAGTTGAATTTTTTTGTGGTAGTTTTTGAAAGTATATCAATATTTCAAGTAAATTTTAAAATAGTTTAGACAATCCAATCATGACATAAGAGTTGTTGAAGTTTGGAAAATATTTCTCATATGGATATAGAAGGTTTTAAGATACTTTATTATACATTTGAGTGTTTATTTGGTACTTGGGCTTATGTTTTGATGTAATTGTTCAAAAATGGAAAACATTATATATATAAACTTAGTATTTTATATCTTAGACTTGATTGAGTATTTAGTCGCAGCTAGAAGCCCAACGCTTTCTTGAGACAAACTCTCTCTACCTCCACAACGTCGAGTCTTTTCTTACTTGGTAAGAGGTTTAAAACATACCACATCAATTTGCATATCCTCTACTTTTGAATGTTTTTATTGAAGAGATGCTAGTATTGCTATTAAATTGTAGTAACGTTGAGGCCTACTTGTGTGACTCTCAAATCAAAATTCAAAAAGTTGATGGTGGCATTTCACAGCAAAGTGAATTGCTTGACGCAATATTTGAGGATCAAGTAAGTTGAGCATCAATTTCTTTACTTCATATTATAATCCATAAAAAAATTGGCTAATAAATATAGCATCATCCTACTTGATATCAGTTGCAAGTTGTCAAAACTATAAAGCATATAATGTTACAAATCAATTGCCTTGTCGTAAAATACAGATCTTGTTGGTTGCAACATGAGTTGCATCATGTTCTCCATACATAGATCAAAATTCCATCAAAAATGCCTCCAGATTATCCAATATTAGATCTCATTATTCAAGAAAAGATGAAAATCATGATATTGCTGAACCTGAAAGAAGTATACCTATAAATCTAACTTGTGATCCTAAAATTGGATAGCTTTGAAGTTGAAGTTCAATCAAAAGTTGTACTTGATTGATAAATCCTCAAAATTTAGATCTTATACTATTAAATTTCTTGGACAGGGTAATTCTTAGTTTTCTAATATTTGAAGGATGTTCCATCATGGGTGGAGGGACATGATTTGGTGCAAATATTGACGTAGCTCTAATCATTTCTATATCTTCACTTCCTGCCATTCTTGTTGATCCTTGTGGTGGTAAGCTAAGTTGATGCATCGCAATAATCAACTCTCTCAATTACTCTTGCATTTGTGCTATTACACTCTTCATTTCAAGAAGCTCTGCCATACTAACACTCAGAAAAATATCCAATATTACTCAAGACAAGTAGAAGAAAGGACTTGAGGACAAAGAAAATTATAAGACTAATATCAGTTTAGAAAAAGGTAATCCACAACTTCTAATATGCTTATGTCTTATCATGAGAAAAAGATAATCCACTCTTAAACAAGATAAGACAAAGCTCTGATATTATAAGTGTACTCTTGTCAATTTATCAAAGACACAAATTGAAAAATGATGCATAAACTAATGAAATTTATGTCAAAGAAAAAGTGACAAAATAAAAATTAGAAAGTATGTATATTAAAAAAAAAAACTGAAATGTCTTATTGCCAAAAGATAAGAAAACTTAAGACTCTTGAAACTAGACTAGAAGCAAGAAAAGAATTGACAAGAGTCAAGAAGGCTTTACTCTTGTTTCTATATATATTATCTAATAAAGGGCCACATGGCAATATTCTATTGGACCTCCAATATGTGTTAACTTTGTAAGACACATGTCTTGACTTACAAGGCAAGTTTTTCTACATGTGTGCCACATAATTAGCTTGTTCTTCAAGCTGCCAACATATATGGCACATGGTTATCTTATTGACCAAGTTTTTAACCTAAAAGTCAATAATAGACACCTATAAAGTCAAAAGAGCATCTATAAAGCTTCTAAGAAGCTTTTTTAGAAGATATTATAGAATTAACTTACTTTTATCTACTTCTATCTATTTATACAGTCAATTATTGGCTTATATGTGTATGTTTGTGACAAGAATATACAGAAACAGTGAATGCAAGAAAAACTCTCTTCTCTACTTTGAAAATTTGTCAACAAATAACTAACCCAAATTCCATAAAAAAGATAGTGAAATCAAAAAAGACAAAAATCTTTTATAAAATTCTATCCAAACTTTTATAATTGTAAGGCAAGCCAAAAAGGAAGCACAATGAATAATATAACAAATATTACCAAAAGTATAGTATTTAATACTATTAAATAAATATATTAAATTATATGATATATTCTTTAAATGTAATACTAAAAACTATCAAATACATAAATTAGAAAAAATGCACTTGAATGTACTAAAAAGATAATAATTTATTAGATAAATATCAGAGATCAATAGGATTCAAAAATTTATCCTTGCATTTTAAATAAAATAAAATAAAATAAATAAAAAATAAAAATAAAACTTTAAATGATATACAATTTTTTTCAACAAGCAATTGGTTGCTAAAAAAAGAGGTCTTCAAGAGGTGTAAATTAATGAAAAATTGATGGTAATATTACTATGTCTATATAGTTTTGCAAGAAAAATATCTCCTTGCTTTATTTTGACATGAATCTATCCAACTTTTATAAGAATGTACTCTTAATGCATGAAATGGTGACAATAACTATTTTGCAAAGGTATTTGTTGCATTATGAGCAATGGTAAAAAGTTGATAAAGTTTCTTTTTTTCTTTTTCTTTTTTTCTTTTTTCTTTAGTTAATATGAAAAGAAAGCATCTGCATAAGAATCAAAGCTATGTTTGGCAGATCATTGTTCTTACATATAATACCATGATACTTGTATATTGATCATAGAGAAAAGATAAGATTGACTTGTATCTCTTGCCACAATTTGGGTTTGATTTTAGAAGAGCAAGGTCACTTCTATAATAAAAAATGACATCAAGATAACAATAGAAGAACTTTGAAAAATAGATAAACAAGTGCATCAAGTGCATCTAAATTGTGTTTTTTATTGAGACTAGCAACGACACATTATGTATTCTAATATTTAGAATTTCTACCTAATTGAAAGCATGCAATGAAATTCTTTTCAAATAAGGAGTTGAAATGAGTACAGAAACAAGAATTATCATAAAAAAATAAAAATAAAATGTAAAAGAGAGATAGATTTCATTAGCAAGAAATTATTTGCTCAATTCCTAAGTGCTTCTTGAATTTTTTTAGAGATGAAACTCAAATATCCATAGGGATTTACTCTCAACATTGTTAAAATGCAAGTTATTTCACATGCTCTTCTTATATCTAATATTAGAAGTTTTTTGAATATTAGTGAGAATTTTAATTTTGGATTTTTAATATATGGTGATTTTAGTTTTGGATTCTATAGTAATCAAAATTGAAATCACCATAGAATTATTGTAGATTACTCTTATAAGAATTTAAGCTTTTTTGTCCTTGAAATTTTTAAAGTTTCGCTAATCAAATTAATTAAACCTCCTTTAAAGCTTGTGATAAGTTTTTGACTTATGTATACATGAAATTTGGTTTATTTGTACTATGGACTGTGTTTCTAAGTGTCAAATATATATATATATATATATATATATATATAACTTTTGTATTAAATTTATAATAATTTTTGTCCTTGAAATTTCTAAGGTTCTAAAAGCTTACACATGATATATAATTATACAAAATATTTTCTATTATTATTAGAAGTATATTATATGGCAAGATTTCCATGTACTTCTATTATGAAAAGAATATATTTTTATGGTATAGGAAGATATAAATGGAATTTAGATTTTTTAAATAAGAAGTTTCAAATCTTCTCCATTAAAATGAAACACAATTGGCTATTTTACAATACGATTTATATAATAGATGTGTATGTATAATGCAAGAAACTTAGAGAACTTAGAAAAAAACATAGAAATGAGAAAACATGGAAACTAATGAATACAAGGAAGCATGGATGAATAAGAAAGTAGATAGATATGCCAAAGATTGCAATGTCCAACAGCACAAGTTTCTACTAGAAAACATAAATATATAGTAAATAATAATTATATTTTCTTAGTTAAGAGTGGTTAGATTTTGACTTAGGAACCACAAATTAAAATTTTATAACTTTTTCGTGGCCAACCATGGATATACACACTTGCTTTAAATGTACTCAATGTGACTGCTTTTCCTCAACCAGTGGAAAAACAAGTCAGCAACAAATAAAACTGAAGCATCTCAATTTGAATAGTGTGGAGTTTTACCACAATGTTTGCTCTTCAATTATATTTCATGGCAACATGTCTTTGGCTCAAAAGACATGCAGGTTTAACACAATGCATTCCAACTCAAACATGGGATTTTCTATCACTCCTAAAAACATCAATGCAGAATTTCTAATCAGCGAACCACATCGGAGTCTGAACATCACATATTGATAGTTCTAACCTTTTCACTTCCCCAACAGCATCATCATCATGAAACACAAATGTATGAACGTATGTGTGTCTGTGTACATGAAGAAACAACAATGCCTCAGGCCTTCAGATCTCACAACGCAGGTGGAGGATCTGAAAGACAAGTAGAGCATATAACGACCCCGACTCTCAAAAGAGGTTTAGAAATCACAGAGCTAATGTCTAGTGAAAGAAGAAGTACAAGACGCGGATACACAACAGTATGAGTTTATCATGTGTTTATTTCACACCGAAGATCTGTCAAAAGTGTTTCAAGCACTAAGTGTAATGAAAATGCAATGGTCCAGCAGGATTGGCTGGATCGAAAAAGTGTTGAGTAGTTTCACTTTTTACTTTTTTTTTTGTTTTTTTTTGTTTCCCTTCCCTCTATCGTACCGATTGTAGCAACTGGGGACTACCAAACTGAAAGAATGTGCAGCGAAGCAGCAGGTCTTCGTGACCGTCTCGGGCTGCGATCAGCTTCGCGCGGACGAACGGGCCATTCCTGCAGGCACATCAGGGTCCGAGGAGCGTCGTTGAGTTTCGATCGAAACGGTCCCTTGCGAGACAGACTAAGAATCGCGATGGGTCCCAGTGGGACTATCTGAACTGGCAGCCCTCCCACGTTTGCCGCTCTGTTGGACACTATGGACCGTCCGTCTGTCGTCGTGATCATGAAAGACAATGCTCCAGCTACCTTGGTCCGGCAAGTCCGTATCGATCCCCAGTTCCGGAATATGTTCACCCAACCGCCATACTGCCCCTTAACCCTCATAGACCTGATATCACCTGCACCTCCAACGTTGTCGATCAAAATCATTGTGAAGTATGGGTTTCCTCCGATAGTGAATCGAACTCCACCGCGTTTCACACATTTAACCCTGTCATCGCAAGTAACCTTGCCACCATTAGTACCTTACAAGCAGGATGAGTTCATGTTAAGAAATGCAATGCAGAACGATGTCTGCACTACAGAAAGTCACATACCTCCTGTAGAAAACGGGAGCGACTCCTCCTTCACGTCTTGCAAGCGCGGTAAATGCGGGCATTGGCAAGTCGAAGTGAGGGCGATAATCACACCATCCTCCGTGAGAGCCTCGAGGGCACAGATTAGTGGCAGTCACAACGATCGTGCGAAAATAGTTCCAGCACCAGTTTCGCGCGATTCAAGAGGCCCTCACGAGTGCGCACTTCAGCTGATAGCAGCTCTCGCAAGCCGCTCCACCCTGGAACAGAGGAGAACTCAATGCCGCAGTCAAGGGTCAATACCCGAGGGCGTATGTATTTTGATACGCGCCCCCCCTGCGTTCCACCACCATTAGGTGATCCGTAGTAGGTGATGTGTGCATCCTTCCATCCATACGGAGCTCCACGCACGGAACTCAAGCTCACAGACAGAAGCACGGTTACGACAGTAGCAAGCTTTAAGCTATACGTAGCATTCATCTTCATGATCTAGGCCTGGTCTGATAATAGACGGATCCAGGAGCCATCAAAGTTAACGAATGCATTGATAACTTTGTCATTGTGAATCAGTCTTTAAGAATTAATGTACTTGAATTTAAATATTTATCGAAATTTCGTAGTGCAGCAGTTCATCGAAAATAATGTGAAATGAGTACCGGCGTGAATATGTCAATCTATCGAGACAGGTTCACAAATCAGCTGAATCTGCAACAGGCATGCCATTAAAAGTCGAGTTCGTCACTTACGATCTAGAAGCAGATGTGAACCTATGTTCAAAGGCAGAAAACCAAATTAGTAACTGGCTTCCCAAGAGGAGCTCATGCGGAAGATCGAATCTTTGTCAGATGCTTGGAGCTGAAAGAAAAAAGAACTCTCGGCCTCAAATGAGAGCCTAAATTATGAAGCTTCTCAGGGACTTCAAGCACCTTATACGTTGCTTCTCTCTTTCTTCCCTCCACCCAACCGACATCCGAATCCAATGGAGAGAGAAGAGGGACAGTTCTTGAACAGTTCTACAATTACATTCTAGTACTTAAATTGAACATCATAATCTGCATGACAAATGAGATATGCCTCCGAATCGAAGGAAGCTGAGCACTCGGGGCAAAGCTGAAATCTGGGCACTCGTTTAACATCCCTCCTAGAACATCTCGCAGAGCCTTGCCCATTTCTGCCATTATCCCAAGCATCTCCGTCCTGAAGATTGCCAAGATCGCTTACGTGCTTCGTTGTGCTTCGTGATTGTATGCAGTGGAGAGCACAAGCGGTGTTGGGAATCTTGGGGACGGAGCTGGCGGGGGCGTGAACATTCATCAACGGCAGAAGCGGGCAGAGCTCCGCGCGATGTCGGTGAGGGATGTTTCACGGGCATCACTGGCATTCGATACAGGACGATGTTTGGATCAAGTTGCAGTGTCTAGGGCATCTATCAACAAGAAATTTGCAACTGTAGCAATAATTGATCCACGAATATCACTGAGTTCTTGAGTCCAATTGGAGGACATTGTGGGACAGATACTCGGCGTTACCCTTGGAAGTCTCTCAACTAATGGTACACAAATTACTGAATGTGTGTACAACTGCCCCGCTAGATGTCGTCCATTACTCGTAAACATCTATAAGGGCCAATTCACGTTACAAGAAGTGAAGGATCAAACTTGTTCTGTCTCTCCCATCATTACAATTCAAACCCGCAAGACATTCGTCACAGGAGATGAACGTGGATGTAATCGTTCAGTTCACTGTAAATTAGCACGTGAACATGCTGATGCAATGATCAAAGGATCACTCAGTGTGAACAATGCCTACTTGTCCAAGAACGGAGTTAGATAGAAACATGATCAAAGGGGCAAACTGGTTTGACAATAAAAAATAGTGGAAAATATGCAACTGATGGTTGAAATACAGCCACCGTGACCATGAGGCGGTGCCTCAATCAAACTCTGGAAATTCTTCAGCACACAAATTTGGTGGTAGAGGACATACTCCTCACCAGCCAACACACGAAGTAATCGAAAAACGATAGCTTTTTCAAATATGCCCGAAGACGTTTTTCAACGTTTGACCATCGCTGTTTAAGAAAGGTCTCGTACAAAAATGTTCTCAACCGTGCCATTAATCCATGCTTTCATTTGTTCGAACAGCACCAATTTCACCCAAAGTCTACAAATCTCTACAAATATACATTCTTACCACCTTAGCCCTGTCGCCAAACCCTGAATATACCTTCACCAATGCCTAAATATAGATTTCATTTCTAAAAATTTAGGACTATCCCTGTGAATCTGTACTTCACACCTATCAATCCGTTCCAAAAAGTACCAGCACCACCTCAGCAATCAATGTAACCTCCAAAAACGTAGGTACCATAAATGAACCACCCAAGGAGTAGGGTAGCGAACCCGGCCCAGAAGAAGAAGTATACCCAATCTGCCATGAACAATCCAAGGGTCATGATTGCAACGAATGGCACATAGCCTCGAAGGAATCCGGTGAAGTCGACAAATTCGCCCTGCACAAGAGCAAGTAGAAGGACATCCACAAGATTCCAGTTCGTGTGTCCTCCGTAAGCCATCCGGTTCATGCAATTCGCAACAAATGAGTGACAGTTGCAAGTAAAAAAGTTGTATGACTTTCTCCCAAAGACTTGAACTGATCTTGAAATCGCATCATCCCAAGAATAGGCCATGCCAGCAGCGGCATGCTTGTCAGCAACCTTGCATGTATGGCCGTATTGAGGATGGGGGAAACAGCACTGTACACCACAATATCGAATTTTAGAAGTCGACAAATGTCACACGAAGTCTAAAACTATCAAAGTATCAAAGAAATATACACTAACAGCTAGCATCTTCATAATGGATAAAAGTTCAGGCCCGTACATTGTTGGGACTGAGACGCACGTATTTGGCGCACGAGCCGAATGCAAGGTTGTCAACATTAATATTTCCAGCGAAATCGAGGATTACACCATCCTCTCGGCAAATGCCAACGTGACCTACGAAGGGTACAAGCCACGCAATAATTGGTAGTGGTACCCACACCAAACAGTACGGGAACTTCCCATTTTTTAAATCCACAGGTCGCTCTGGCGCATTCCACCTTCTCACAACCTGTAAAAGGTATTCGAGTTGGTCAAATAAGCACCCTAAAGAATTCTGAAAAACGATTCTAAGAACTCTAAGGATATCACTGAATCCCATGAATATTAAAGGGTATATTGATCAGATGTGGATTACCGGTCTGGGAGGAACAAGACTTCTCAATTCCTCTCTGGAAGTAGAGACTGGTCCACTAGAAACTTGAACGTGGTCGTATCTCTCAACTCCTTCGTCTGAAATTGCATCATCAGGTATCTCAGTCACAGGTCGAGTTAATGCACGCCAACGACCACATGTGAAAATAAGTTCATTAGTTGCGCGAAGATATACGCTATGGAATGCCTCTGACATTTGGAAGTAGGTGCATCAGAATCAGTTGTGCACTAATTTTGACCTTCAGTAAGTACCTGGTTATCGACCAAATTGTTACCGGGTGCCTCAAGCTTCACCTTACATGACTAACTCAATGAATCAAGATGCAAATGAGCCATTAAAGGACATTGAATGGGAGATATAAACAACCTGAAATCCTCTTAATGTGCTGAGCAGTTTTAAATACAGAACGCAGTGTTGTGTTGAATTGACAAGACTTACGATTCTTCTCAGATGAATAATGTGGTGCCAGCATGGCTTTATATTGTCCAGATAAAGTAAAATCCACGCCGGAAAAATTCATTGCTGCTGCTGACGAAATGCTCTACCCCGTAAGATATCTTCGCACCTAACGCTTAAAACTGGAAACCCACCCCCAGACAGAGGACAAATAAGAAATTCATCAGCTTCAGAAAGCAAGATATCCTCAGCAACACCATCCATGTTCCTCAATATGAATATGTTAAGGTGCCTTCATTCAGTTCCTACATACAACTACTGCACTTCGTAAGTAGAATTCCTTTAACACAGTATGTCCTTCATTGTTACATTACCAACAAAAATCTAAAGGGCTGCCCATGATAAACCTCATCAATCACTCGCTCGAAAAAAACATAATAGAGGAAAAGGGGGAACAATGACTACATGGCAGCTTCTACTGCTGAATTTGTTAAGTGTACTTTAAGTCAGGCTTGAAGTACAACTAATCGAAATCCTCATTAGTTCGCCTGGAATGTAACGACATCATGAAGAACCGTCGCAAAGGATTAGGCCACACAAACATGACGAATTGATGAAATATTGAGATCAATAAATGTATACTTTTGCGCCGTTAAGCACACGACACAAAATCGGAATTCCTTCACACGTAAGAACTCCTTGCAGCAGTCCAGCTATACTGTACCAGGATGACTATGATCATCAAACAGGCTTGGGCACCCTCACATGCCACACGGTGTTTGAAGACCAATGCCAAAGAATATTATCGCTCAAAATTACCTCCAATAGTGTCTAAAGTAACAGATAACTTAGGAATCACTGGCCATTCTTTAAACAGAATGACCAATTGCACCACCGCACAAAAAAGTGACCCAGGCGAAACTATGCTATGACCACTTTACATAGAAGTGAGAAAGAGATATAATAATCACCGACTGTACCGAGAAATATTCCCATCATCTCATCGTGAAATGAACAAGACTAACAGTCTGACTTCGACACAGGGTTAAAATGGTCAGCGAAGTACAACTCCATGGCGACCCTCCTATAATCCCAATTCTGAAACCTTCTATTCCAAAGACTAATCCAGTCAAATAGTTCTAGTCATCGAATAGAAATAACGAGTCTTGCACGTAACGACCAGGTACATCTAGCGACATGAAACCACTAACGTAAAGAATTTCCCCAGTGCGGAAGAGCGTGGTATTTCGCAGCAGAACTATTTAATCCATTACAGTTTATTTGGTGTGAGAACATCATCCTTCTCTTCGAATTTCGAGAGCTCGGGACAGATAGATACCAAATGGATAAGAGTCCATGCGAATACTTCTCAAGAAGACAGCAATCATATACGCATCCCAGAAGAAAACACAACCACGACCCTCAACCTTGCTTGCTCCACCACCAGAAAAGAATGTTACGATTTCTCACCAAGCACCACCTCCCTTCAAAAAAAGAATTAACGGGGCTCCCACGTCATATCTGTCCCTTCGCCTTAAACCAAACAATCGCCGCTTCACCTGTACGCTTCGTCCATGAAGAAATGCTAACCCGTGGAACCAGAATCTCGTCTCCACACCTACCGGCGCACAATTTGGATTTACAAATTCAGCCCACTACACGCTTACAACACAAAAGGGCCCAGATCGTTTTCTTAAACTCCTATAACAGCACTGAGGAAACTGAGGCAAGCACTGAACAGAATCATCTCAGATTTTGTGCAGATCATTACTTCAACTGAGGACCATCGGCATGACAATTCAAAGGGAATCGCTGGGGACGCATCAAATCTCCAATAGTTAAGCCCACGTAGGCGAAGCTCATTTAGAGCTGTGACGTAGCTAGCTAAGCTACCCGACACTATTGCATTCGTAGGCAACAAATCGGCCAAAGTGCTGGGTAAACGATAATCTGGGAGCATTATCATAACAGCAGAAGGATCCAGAATTTTCGTCGTGCAATCCGTCGTGACACATACGTTCGTTCACAAGAGGATCGTGGTGGCTCTATCTTTTCTGGGGTCCGCGATCTTCGACCCGCCCAACAGGGCGGCTTTGACCAAATTGTGCTCATCAATGAATTATCAAATATTTGATCAATAAAACCGATTTCTGGCCCAACAGCACTCCCAAGGAAAGATCTCGCGAGAAGAGATTTTAAGCAGCAGCTACGCGTGAATCCACTCGAACATTCACTGTCGATCTAAAAAGCTCGGCCGTGTTAACCTCCACACTTGTGGTCCTCCGAACAAAGCCCTAGTTCGTCGTTACACACACTGCGTCGCAAAGGGAGGATGCTGACAGGGCAGGGCTCGTCCAGCTGGACACCGAAATTAAACCTGGGTGGCACCAGACGCCGTGGGATCCGGAAGGGAACCCCGTTCCCAATGGCCTGTTTCCTGACGGAGCTTGGCCAATAAGTCACTGGACCACTTCGTCACCACGAATGCCACGTCACACGAACTTTGCTGATTATGCTGAGTCAGCTTGATGACAAGGCAGGGTTTGACCAGTCGTGGGGTTGCAAATGGCCAGATAGTCTTGTTGACTAGGCCACTGGATCCTGATTGGCGACCCCCAGGAAACGGCTTTCTTTATTAGACAAAGGCAAAACTGCCCACATATTGGAAGCAATTTTTATTTTTAAAAGCAGCTTTTGGATTTTACGAATACACACCCACTGTAAACAGTATTGTTTCAATGAATTTTAAACACAGTTATGAATGTTGGGTGATTTTTCAATACAAACCACTGAGCACTTCAGGTTACGTGCATAATGCATGTAAATTCTTTGCAACAAATGAAAACAAAGTAGAAAAAAACTACATAACCTGAGTGCTACCAATAGACTTGATATTTATGAAATATAGGTGTAGTGCTTTAACACAACTTGTACTATTTTAAAACAGCTTTAATGTGTTCTTATATTTCAATCATATACACAAATGTGCACTGGGTATTGATTTTAGTGTTTAAATTAACAAAAGTTTTTTTTTTATACCAAGGATTTCTTGTATAATAGTGTGATGAAGGAATTTAGAGTCAAATTATAATACATATTGTGTTTTAAAATTTAACAAAATTATTATTTTCATGAGTTCACCACTCGATTCTTTGCAATTATTATATAATAATATAACAAGTTATATGGTAGAGATGTTAAAATAACATGATGACAAACATTTTTGCAAACCTATCTCTTCACTCATGTACTAAGAAATGATTATCTACTTCTAATTTATTATCAACAACATCTTTGGTATCCCTTCAGCTTACAGGGCATTGGATGGCAAGGTCAATCTATCCTAGGACTAAGATTTAGGGGAATTAATAATAAAATTTACTTCTTCTTTTATTCCATTGAATTTTATTTAATTTTTAATTTTTTACTAGTATTACTTAGATGCCCACTTGGCTAAGTTAGGAGCACCCATGGATTAAGAAGATAAAAGAGTTGTGAGGAGTCAAGACAAGGAAGAACTCCAAAGGACCAATATGATACACATTGCACAAAAAAACAACAATGCTCTTGATTTTAAATGAATAAATAAATAAATCTAGGCATTGTGTGCCACCACTTATGATCAAATCATACACCTCATCATTATTCACAAAAATTCTAACTAATTATTCCAATGTCAACAATGATCGGAAATAGATTGAAACTAAGATATATTAATTAAAGAAGATATTCTATTTAGCTTTCTATGTAAGGTTAGTAAATAAGCAAAAGGATGGGCCTAATCTTCTCCTAATTCTAAACCATTATATGGTCTTTATTTGTGGTACCAATATAGGGGTGGTCCTATCAAACATATGCATTGAATAGGTACCAAGTATGAAGAAAATCCTTTTCTGAAATATACAGTACTAAATTCTAAGAAAAAAAAATCATGTTCTACAGAAAATTATTAAATCCAAAAAAATATTTGGTTAACATATTCATTCTGTATGGTCCCAACTTGGAGTTGTTTCTTCGTGGCTCACAACAACAGAGACATCAATAATTTGTATTTCTCCAAATTTATCCAGCAGATGACACATTCAAAGAAGATGAGCATTGTAATCTCATCCAAAGTCATTTTTTAACTTGTTTTTGTAGCAATTCCAGTTATGATTATTCAGATATTAATCAAGATAATGAACTCCAGACTCACATCCGACAATTGTATTGTCTAGGTACTTGGAAGTGCACTCACAAATGCACCAATTACTGTCTTCCTCTTAACATAATCTTATATTCAATAATGTTTAACTCACTGATAAGAGCCAAACAATTGATTCGTTAAGTGTGATGCATCCGAAGCAATTCTTACTCACCCTGCAGAGAGAACTTTATTTCGCAGCACATTTCGTATTCATCTTGTCAGTTATCTCACGTGGGCTGATGATATTCAGATTCTGAAACTTGCAGTATTTGAAGAATGGAATGCCCATGGGACAATATGGAATAAATTGACGTGGTGCTAGTTTTGGTGGTGTGAGGAAACGTGAACTGAAAATCGTAACCGTCGCAAACCAGCTCCAGAATGAAAAAAGAAACATCCATTCCGTAACATTACACCGTCGGTTAAGGACGTACTCATAAGTTTGTGATCCAGAGTCATGCACACATGGTCACTGTCTGCGTGTCTAAAAGAATAGCGATTTCCAGTATGTAGTGAATCTCAGGGAGCGACGTTCAGCGGAACATGCTAGAGATGTCAGCACATCTTGGTACATTTTCACCATCACAGATGAAGGAACCATTCCTGACCCAATAATCACCCTGAGAAGCCTTCTGTGACTTTCAATCTTCCTATTATCTGCAAAAGAAAAGCTAAAATGACTACTGCACTGGACTTAATCACAACAGGTGGACAGAAAAATGTCTCCGTTGAGAGCAATCTCACAAGCTCAGGATGTCTGAATCTCGTCATGCTCTTTGTGGCTCACTGTTGCTGATTCATTAGAAACCATGTGTTGATGAATAGGAGGATTGATAACAGTCATAGGCATCACAACGTTATCAGAAAGACGCCCCTGCATCTCACGGTGCTCCTGGCATATTGCACACCAGTGCAAACAACAATGGACCATGCAAGGATCACATGGCGAGTTCTGCAGTCAAACCAAATTCCAGTTAGATATTGCAACATCCAAAATCCGGCAGAGCTGAAGACTAAAAATGCATTACAGATATCTTCAAGATGTGAGACGACTAACTTTACTATTTGCCTGATATTGTGAATGGAACGGGAATTCGTAAGACAGAATGAACATCATGCAACATTGTGTAGACGGGATGACGAGAAACCACAACTGGATGAACATAATCAGATCAATTACGTCATATGTAAAGGAAAACCGCTGTAAGAGCAGAATGCGATACATGAAATTCAAGATTATTCTGGACATTCATACAAATCCGGCAAAGTAAGTTATAGCAGTAACTGAATTATCAACTTTCACAACGTCGATTACAGCAAACCAACACAGAGATTTCCATGAAAGAAAATCGACCTGAAGATGATATTTCCTTTGCAGCTCTTGTCGAAAGAGTCCTGAGTAGATGCCACACATCCACCAAGCAAACAGCAAACCCTCTGCTACAAGAAAGAAGACCCTAGGGTTTAATCCATGGAGTGCAACTGTGGTAGCTCCCAGGGCGAGACCCCCCTCTACAAAGACGGCATGACAGATACAAGGAGTGGTCCACGGAATTTCCTCCTTCAAATTCTCCACGTTCCGTCCGAACAGGACACACGGGCAGAAGAAACCAGTCTTGCCTGTACATTGACCCACTGTCACTCTGAGTTTTGAAAAAAAAAAACAAAACAAAACAAAACAAATAAATAAATTGAAAGATCAGAGGTGAAACAGCTAACAAAGTGTGTACATCTTTGAGTACCTCGCCTTGAAACTACTCTAGTGAAGGGCAGCAAGAAACACTGCAGGAAAGAGAAATCAAGAAAATCGCGTATTGAATGTAGTTCATCCCCAATGTTCGAAACTCTGAAATCATCGACACTAAAAACGAAAACCCTAAAACAAGAAGATGATAAAGTCTCGTACAAGAGTCGATGTCATCTCCACACCCAAAAATCCCCGTTGTCCAAGGCTCATTGCTTGGAGGTTCGTAGCTCTCTGGAAGTGGCTGTCCACATTCATTACACCGGTGTACTACCAGCTGCGCAACCACCCAAAACTCAGTACATAGACCCAAACACGCATAGATGCAATAGAAGGATGGCTGATCATAATCGCTCCCAAACATATTGTAACTGATGTGATTTGTGGGTCCCAAGAATCCTGGATTCGGGTACAACAAGCGACAGGGTCGCAACTATCATAATAGCGCAGAAGAAATGGAATGCTTACGTCCAAAACTAACACGCCAGTCCAAATTAGGCAAAATCCCAGAGGGATGCCTGATCGGCAGTGTAAGATCATCTCCACAGCAAGCATACATGCCACCAAGAGGCAACCAGAAATACCTAGACGAGATCACACGTGATGCCCAATTTCTCGATCAAGCCAAACATGCTTGGGACAGACAAACCACACGCAAATGCATCATATGCAGTAGGTGGTGTACTAACCGTGAAGCAGCAGCAGCAGCAGTAGAACTATGCGTCTAATCGCTTACACGAACGAAACAGGCACAATCTCTTTATAATCAGAAAGAAAATTATATCTAGCATCCATCTGGCCACCCAAGAGTGCAACCATGCAACAATGCCTCACACACCCAGGAGTAATAACAACTATCCACTCTTTGAGACCTAGATGAGCGGCACAACGATCTCGTAACCCAAACAGAAAAAATCCGCAAGTTCACTCGCTACCGACAAGAGACGTATTGCTCGACCACAATCCGATGCGCAGGAGACCCACATCCAAACCTCGCTCCGACGCACGAATCCATCCCCTAAGAGCCCACCCACCACAATCCCAAGCCACAAACCCAACTAGATCCCAAGCAACAAACCCAACCTGCGGCACGTACACCGGCTGATTAAGCTCCCCGGGACGGATCTCCTCGGAAGGAAGCTCATGCTCCTTGTCAAGCTTCACATACCGTGAGGCAGACGTCTCCTCCGCAACAACAGACATACTGAATCGCCCGCCCGCTTCTCCTCCACAACTACAACTACAAACAACCACTCACCAACTATTCAACAACCCCAACGCCACTTCTACTCAGGACCCAACAAGCCAGCAACACTCAGCAGCTCAAATCCGAACAGGAACGCGCGACGCGGATGGTGAGAAACAACAACACTAGCGCGACGCATACGCGATCAGAGCGATGAGGGGAGATCAGGCGATGAAGAGAAGAGAGGAAAAGCATCAGAGCCTCAAACCCTAACATATTAACAAAGTGGATTATTCTTGTGTTTCTTTCAATTTGAGTAATTCATTTGTGTTTTCGTGTTTTTTGTCTGCACCTGTGTGTGCTTGTGGCTTACTTGTTCCGGGTTGGGTTTATTGCAGTTTTTTGCATTTTGCGTTTTCTTCGCCTGCTTGAATAACCTCTGCATTTTTCTGGTGTTGGTGAATTCTTTGTTTTTGGTTTGTTTTTGTTTTGTTGTACTGTTGAAACTCTTTTTTTCTGTTGCTGGAAATAGTCTATGAATTCCTGCGATTTTATTCATCGTAATCTTGTCAGGATATGGTATCAATTATGACCGATGGTTTCAACCCCTTTTTTGTGAAGATTAGCATTGTAATATCATTCCTTTTGTGTTTTCTTTGTTGTGATTAGATTGTTAAAATGAAAATAGTAGGTATCGAAATAAAGATATATAATGTATGTCTTTTTAAAATACTATGGTATTCTTTAATGAATATGAATAATATATGGTCCAATAAATATGAAAGGTTTAATATTATATAAATCAAACCTTAGCAATGTAACAAACCATTAAGAATCTTTTTTAGGTACAGCTAAATAAATATATTATTGAGTTTTGAAACACTATCAGAAATCTAAAAGCTAATATTTATTCCATCAAGAAAAGTAAACACAACTATTTTACAATATATATAATTTATTTTTAAAATATATGAATAAAATAAAATTGATTTAATAGCTGAAATGTGATATGATAAAGAACATTACAATTTGAATAGATGCATAAATTGATGACTACACACATATACATATTTTTTATTTATTTTTAAAATATATATTTTAAAATAATAAATAATTAAAATCTTTATATGAATGTATATGTTAGTAAATTTTATAGTATCACTTTACTTGATTTAAAATTACGTACTGTGGTTTCATGTTAAATCAAAATATTGATCTTTATATCATTTATTTAGATAAATTCTACAATTCTTTTCAGAAGAACTACTGTTATCAAATAAGATTAATATACTTAATATTTTTTTTGCTTTATTTATTTTTGATATTCAAAATATATAATAAAATTTAATTTATTTATGTAACATGTAATATATTTCGATTAAAACTATTATATTAAAATATATAAATAGTACATATAAGTATTATTAAATAAAGTAGATATGGATGTATAAGTGTATTTAATATGTAAAAAGACTTAAATTATTTAAATTGCATATGTTCATATATATATATATATATATATATATATATATATATATAATTTTATTTGTTTTTATAATAATCCTTAAAATAACAATACACAAAGTAATTTAAAGTATACCATAAAGTTATAAATATTTATATTGCTTAGTACATTATATATCAAATTTTTTACTTTTTAAATATATAGATTTTTATTTTTATATATTAGTAAAGAACTATAATTATATATTTATATATATATATATATATATATATATATTGCAAATAGACATATTATATTCTTTGGGATCAAGTAGGATGAGAGTAAGTAATGCTTTTGATTAAGTAAAATAAGAAACTAGTGTCTAGATGTGCATGGAAATGAAATTTTTGTTCTAATACAATGGTGACATCTTTAGTTATTGGTTTAAAGATTGAGTATTTTAATGTCCATTAGCTTCTTAGAAAATTAATCTCTAAGACTTCTAACTTCTTTTTTTTATATCTTTCTTTAAAAACAACTTTTTCTATTGTAGAACAATTGTACATTCTTTAATTTGTTTAATAGTTTTAGTTGATCACTTCTTTACTTTACAGTAGAAGAAGTTCATTTTATGAACAACTACAAAACCACCTAATTTTGGATATCAAGCACACTTTCATAGTCACTAGGCACTAAAATTGGTTCTATTGTAATGCTTCGTGGTTAAGAAGATTCTCATTGTGATAAAAATTAGAAAAAAAAAAAAAAAAAAAAAAAAAAAAAAAAAGTTGATACAAATTACATGAGAGAATAATGAAGTGCTAAAAAATAACACAACTGAATAGAAAATATGTGTAATTAGATAGATAATACTTTTGGTAGATGCACACAAACAAATAGTATTGTTTTTATTAAATTTGAAACATAAGTATCATAATTAATTAATTTTTTTATAGTAAACTAAATTACCAAAATTCATTTGGTTATTACATCTTAAATAATCATAAACACATCAATAACATGTATTTTAATTTATTGTACTATAACTTTTATGCATGCTATATTAAAATATACCAATGTCACCATTACATACTATAGACAAGTATTTGAAATCATTTAAATCACATCTTATTTCCAACTTGTAATATATATATATATATATATATATATATATATAAATATACATATACATATCCATATATGGTCTTAATTCTTAAGTGAAAAATATAAAGAGCAGACAAAACTTTGAAGGAAAAAGAAGAAAAGAGTTTACATCTACAAAGTTCTTTTAATGTTTCTTGCATATACACATACATGCAGTAATTTTCTAAGTATAGAATAAAGTGATTGCAACCCCTTTTTACTTTTTTAGTAGAAAGGGGTTTTTGTCAAAATGATTTGTAAGGAGTATGTATTAGTGTGTTTCGTTAAGAATATCTGATTAAAAGACTCGAGTATTCTGTTTAAAATTTGATTGAAAACCTTATGTTTTAAAACTTTTAGTAAATCGCATTTTTTCTCATATACTTAATGTTTTGATTTACAATCTTTATGATTTTTAAGTAGACTATAGAGGGTGATAAGGAGCGCTATCAATTAAGACTGATGTTGCATGAACATGAAATCCGTAGACAATGAGATGTTCAACCTAACCCCAAGTTGAACATGTATTCTAATAATGTGAATTCGAAACCAACGTCGTAGTATGATAGATTGCACGCATTTAAAGCAAAGAGTTGTTTTGAGTATCGTCCCACAACTGATCATTCATCTAGTTCAATGGAAGGAAGAAGCAACTCAAGCTTGAATTATAAAACTCAATAGTGGATGTGGAATGTTTGATTGATCAAGCATTTTAAGATCTAGAGCGGTATTGAGAGATACACCAAAATTCATGTAGAGAAGTTGTTTTATTGAAAGCCAACAAAAGCAATATTTGTTCTCTGAGCCAGAGGACAAGTATAAATCATCCGTACCTGATGATTGCAGATATAAAAAGAGAACTGAAATCACGCTGCAGTGTGATGAATAGATTGCAAAGTTATCACAGGTGATAAGTTGGATAACTACAAATTGGAAGGTTTACCATTAAGTCAACTTCCAAATAAATAACCAGCAGCATGATCTTCGTTCCCATTGAACAAAGACAACGCTTCCAGAACTTGAGACCTGTCAAAACCAAGATCCAGCAATCTCTGCACCTTCGCACATTCCGTCTCTCTCTGAGAAATACATTGCAATTTCATAAAATTTCATCACACATGAATGTCATCTCCTCTGAGTTTTCATTGGCAGAGCAAACAGGACAACTGAAAACAGCAATTAATTTTCAACGTCTTCTTCATGCGAATGAATCAACGACGTTATTGCTCACGATTCTAGACATATTTCTGAGTCTTAAATCATGTTCTGACTGACAAAGTGATTCCCCTTAAATTTTCTCATTTTCAAAAAAATTAGTAGCTTCAGATTATTATAAAAAGGTATAAGATCATTCATTACCTGTGGACTCCTACTCGTTCTCCTATCAACTCGGCTAGCCTCCGTACCTGATGGTTGACGACCTTTGAAGACAAAAAGGATAAATCCTCAGAATATTGTTGATGAAATTGGATTCCTTTTTTACATTACATTTGTTGCTTAGCCCAAGCCGAAATCTCAAGTATTTCATGTGCAATCAATATGCAAGCAATATTATAACTCAGCAATGCATTCGAACACTTTTAAGGCACGATTTAAGGAAGCGAACTGCATTGCTATGGAGATATTTCTCAGTGATAACTATGATAGCTATTCTTACTGAACATCTGTGAACATATAAGTAGGTGCTGCGCAATGTGAAAGTATGGCAGAAACCTTGAACAAGGGGTGCTTGAAATGCAGCGGGAGGATGAATTGTCAACCCAGGGCCGTTCGTAGTACCCTCCTACACAGAATAAATTTTGTAAAGCTATAGTCACTATTACCAAGGAACAACTCTGTTTCAAAGAATCAGCATCCTTGCGAATGTGATTTCATTATTCTCAATTGTATCCGAACGATTATTTCTAACATATGAATAATTGAGGCGAAAAACATGTAGTAAATCAAGAGTTGTAAACATTGTGTTGGATATGTAAAGTCGAGATTATAAATTTACCGTTGGAGGTGGGGTTTTTCCCAGTTGTGCTTCATCGTGCAAGTGTTGAGGCAAATCTTTTTCTGTATCCAAACACCTCTTTAGAATGAAGGGACATTCCCAGTTTCAATTTGAAACAACCTTGAACATAAATTCCTCAGGGTATCGTGCGGTTCTTAAGAAGTAGTAAAGGTAGTCAAGCCGTTATTAGGAACGACTCTTGCTAAGAAAATTAAGAAGTATCTATATTTTGTATCTAACAACAACATGCTTTGAAAACTGAACCTTGCAAAAATGGAACCGCAATCTCCCCACCACCAATCCGCAGGACATTGTCTTTTAAGTCTATACTGCACTGAAGTGACGATATTGCACATGAGCAGCGAGGTTGGGTGAAGCCTCCACATATAGATACACCTTTAAATGGAATTGTGCATCCGAGACAAAAATAAAAATAAAAAATAAATAAAATTGTCACGTGTCATAATAGTCCAGGATACATGCACACTTAGTTTTCCTATCATACGAATGGTTTTTTACAAAAATTCAGCCTCCTTTTCATTCAATTAATCAGAGTGATCATCTTTATCTGATGCTTCACTTCAGAGCAGTTAGTGTTAAGTGCACCTGGTGTTTCCGCAGCATGTCGAGACCAAAAATAAATTCAATATCTGCGTGCTCCAGAACCGTGAAAGAACATGGATAGTAGTTCCTTCCTATCTGCTTACACAATTTAGGATTTATTTAGGATCAATAATTGAAGTTATTTTACTTCCTTGACCAGTTACACACTTTTCAACTTGCAATTGTGATCAAAATTGACGAAATACCATAAGCTGTCTAGGGATCAGTCCCAAATAAATAATGGATGCCGATGTTATCAACCTTGATAGCCGCAACATGGACGCGGCCCACAATCACAGTTTGTCCTACACCCTTAGCAACACCTACGTAGCGCCGGTCTAACAACCTCAACAGCCTGATAAGCAAATTTCCATCAGTGCGGTTGTGAAGCCAATGGACTCAGGAATATGTTAGGTTACAACTATGACCAGTAGCAAAGCAAAAATATCCTTCGCATGCACGTGGGGCAGCGACTTCAACGCTTTAGGTCTAGTATTTAACCTAAAATCTTTGATGTCATACACTGAGTTATTAAATATTACTTAAAAAAGTGAGGTGTCAAAGTGCCACAAGATATCGATCTCAAAAGCAATCTCATCTTTCTCTATTGCATTATTGTTTCTTGTCTCTTTTGAGGGTCATGTTTTCACGAGTGGATTTCCAAGGGTGGATGAGAGGTTTACCCACAGCGCTTCGCACAGTGCATTGATATGATGGTGCTCTGTGCGCCGCTGTCAACAAATGCCTATCCTCCAAACAGCTAGCTCAAGTCAATTGTCTTGGGTACCATTCGGTTGAAAGCAAAGTGGCAAGTTACAAATGGCCATTCTCCAAGCTTCGAGAACAAAATAACAACGTTACCAGTTAAAATGCTTGTTGAACATGGGACTGAGATTGTGACTCACCTTCAAAGGGCACCCATTAACCTCCATATCCACGAACAGCATGATCTGAGCCCAACCAACCTCTCAATATCCAGCTGGTTCTCGAATCTATCGAAAGAAAAGAAAAAAATGACGCAGGGAAAAACCCAATCGCAAACTAGCAGATCGATACTATGAATAACATGGTACTGTACACCAACTTAAAGAGCGCCGGACATGCAGACAAAAAGGTTATTGGCAACTTACAACACGACCAAACGCTTCGGGATTGTACTCAATGGCTGCTTCCCAATTATCATTCACGTTTCTCTTCACAGTTTAGCATCAACAACCACGGTTAGCTTTAGAAGCGTGACAGACGAATCAGAGCACATAGTATGCTATAAGTCGAAGAGGATTGTTCAACCTGGCGGATATCCTCCTCGATTCTCCTTTGAGCGTCCACATCAAACGGGTCAGCAAACAATAGATCCTGCACACATGCAAAAGAATTATGTTAATCTCGCACCAAAGATACCAAACTTCTTAAGACAAAGCTAGCACGACTAACATGCTACCATGGAGTGAAAACTAAAAGTAGAATCACTCAACAGATTGCTTTTGTTAAAAGTTCAATGAGCGATTGAATGAATAGCAAAGGCTGTATGCAGGCTATATACGAGGTGAGGGAAGGGATTCGGCTCCGGAGCTGGGTGAAGTTCAACAGACTGAGAGAATGCGGTAGGCTCCTGTGCATGTTGATGTTGCTTCTTGCTGGGCCGCTCTTGCGCCTTTATCAAAGCAGCAAACATTTCTGTCAAGATATGAATGGTTGTGTTGAATTGAACTGAGGGATTCACGACGAGGAATGTGGTGAGTTGAGGATACAGCCTTTTGAAGTTAAGCGCAATGATTCAATAGGCTTTGGGTTTCATTGTGTCCGAGAGAATTCAGACACACTGAAAAATCAGAGGTAAGTCCAGAAAACTCGACGTTTCAGAAACTCATATTTAGAATAGCGAGAGGATTGTCTTCCAAAAATGGATAACTGGAGCTTACAAAGGAGCAAAACAACTGTTCTAACCATCAAAGAAACTTTCGACAAGAGCGCTAGAAAAATTGTCTTACGTTGTTCCTTGAGTGCGTGGATAGAAACTCACATACTCATGCTCTTGTTGCCCGCGTATCAATTTCCGTCGCTGTAGCTCGTGTAGGAATTCCTGCAACGATTCAACATCGTTCTCCAGCACAGACCGCGCGAGAGTCGGGTGGCTCTGCACCATACAAACATGTGGAATCAGCAATTCATAATTTTAACATTATGAATATATGAAACAATTCTAACATGTGGGAAGCGAATGGGGATCATCACAATGCCACATTAAATATGACTTCTCGTTTTCTCTATGAAGGAGAACAATAAAAGCTGCAATCCGTGTGAGAAAAGCTTTAAAATACAGATATGAGTACACAGCGGCCTATAACTTGAACTCGAAAGTGGAGTATTGATCCAGAGGAACATACTTGTTCCAGCTCAGCCATGGCAACAGGATCCCCTCGCAGCTGACTCAGAATCTCTACTGGATCAGCAGCGGATCCGTTGGCCCGGATTGACCCATGCCAACCTTCCAAAAGCTCTTCTGCACTGCGCATGACCAGCTTTTCATTTCTCACAATACAATTTCTTACAAAGTGCGTAAACGCTCACAAATCCAGCGAGTATGACCCAAAAATAACGTGCGGTGAAATTGCGGTGGGACCTCGAGGGCAGGGATTTCATACCACTCTTAACGTGCTGCGATGCCGAAGATACTAGTCATACATTATGTGATAACCTCCCTATTTCCCCTAAGTTGTCAAGGGTATCACTTGAAGGAAAAAAAGGAATGCTCAAAGTCCTTTTTAAGTGAGCTGAAGAGTAATGCAAATGAAGTACCTCGAAAATGTAGACATGACAAGGGTAAGCATGGAATCCTCCAGGATTCCAGCTGCACTCAACCTCACGGAATTTGGCAGCTCTTCTCCTTTAAACCATAATTGTTGTTGTATTGCGGGGACATTTGCCTGCATCCACCGATAGAGACTTTTAGTCATCGCTGTTTACGAAGTATATATATATATATATATATAAATTGACAACCATGAGAAAGAGATAGATGGAAATACCTCCACTTCGAGGATGGACTTCAAATTCTCTACCTGAAACACACAAAAGGAAAGACATGACGTTTAATGGCATGAGCACTCGTGCATGAGTCGTACTTAGAATGTCCTTCACTCCCATGAGAGGCATTAACACTAAATTACACGAAAGCACATCAAGTCGCGATGTCCATCATGCAAGTTTCCTCTTGCACACGCAAATGCATCGATGTAATTAAAATGCTCCCTGACAAATTTTGGACCTTCTTCCATTGCCTTCGTTCAGAAACCGGTGGAATGCAATTCGACGCAAACTTACATGTACAGAACCGACAGGACGATAAGCATAAATGTTTTCATGAGGAACCAGCAGTCCATGTGTTGAAGGAAAAAACTAAAAAAGTAAGTCAAGAGTTAACGCAATCAACTGAAACAAAAACAAGAAAAGACGATACGAGAAAAAAAAAAAGCTCAAGCTCATACCAGCTCGTCAGAATCCACCTCCACCGTGAAGGATCGATCGTTGATCCGCACCGCAACCTTCATGGTACTATCAACAACCTTCGTCCCTCTGTAAACGAGACAATTCTCCAACTGAGCTACAAGTTCTCACCCCGTTTTCCACGATGGAAGCAAGCGTTCCACAGACGCAGCCAAGAGATTCGAATCTGAGGTGTGAGCCGCTTCACCTCCAGAACACCGAACAACGAACCTTACACAGCAAAGGAAAAGGAGAAAAAAAGTGGTAACAAGATCAGCATGTCGGTGGAGAGCGCAAATCTCTCTCGCACAATAAAAATGTCGCAACATTCAGAGCGCGAATTCTCGGAGCTGCCGCTTACATTCTCACTGCAACGAAGCCTTTGGGATCTTGAGGAAAGCTTGGTGGCCAAAGGCAACAATGCTCTCTCTCTCGAAGCTTGCGACTCTTCATCGTTTTTGATGACGGAATACGTTGATGTAACGAATGAAGTCCAACGTCCTCATCCTCTCGTGTTCATCCATATTCCGAAGTTGGTTGCCCTCGGCAACATGTACTCTATTCACGGTAATACGTGCTTCTTCCGTTGTGGAGCTTAATATGAGATGTTTGCTTTTCTTTTCTTTTTTCTTTATTTTCTTTGATGTGATTTGTGAATTAGTTTATTCACGGTTTTGAATTTTTTTGATTTTCTCCATGTTTGATATTGTGGTGACCACGATTTGTTCTTGGTATGTATGGGAACTTCACATGGAGTGCCGAAGTTGATTACATTTTTAAATATTTTGAAATAATGATGTGTAAGTGTATTTGTGTAATTTAGTTTTTTTTGAAGTAGAAAGTTCCATGTGCAAGGATTTTTGTTCATAATAGTATCTGGTGTGCTTAAGTTTAAAATCAAAATCATATTGTTACACGTGTTTTTTGGTTTGTTGATATATATATATATATATATATATATATAATTTATTTATCATGAACATGAATTATTCATTAATAGATTGACTTGACAAAATGAATGAAATGTTGAGACTTGGAAATATTGTATATGTGCTTGTAAAGAAACTGATTGACTTTTATAAATTAGGGTTACATTAATAAATAAATAAAAACAATATAGAAATAATACAAAAAAATAGCATTTCATCATAAGATCAAGTAAATAAATACATACCATTCCAAAAACCAGTAATGTTATTCCAATTTAAGATAAAATTTATTTTAACAGTTAATGCATATTTTGATATATTTATATTGGAGGTTTAACATCATTTTTATAAAAATCAATATTCTTCATTATTTCCAGAAATATTATACAATATTTTGTACCACTTTTTACTGAAACTTAAAACTAAACAAATTTGGAGCCATTTAAAAGATAAATGAAGTCTGATTGTTTTGTCTAACTTGAAATTTACTGTGTACTACACTGATGTTGGATATGTACATATATATATATATATATATAGAGAGAGAGAGAGAGAGAGAGAGAGAGATTAAATTTGGTGTAGAAAATTTATAAACAACACAATAAGTTAAATTTACAAATTTATGAAGAAAAAAAAAATGTTCTGATATTTTAAATTACTTTTGGATGTTGCTCTGATTGCAAATTCTTTAGATACAAAACAAACTTTTTTTGCAGATGATCAGAATAGATGTGTTCTTTACAAGTTCAAAGGAAGTTTTGTAATTAATGCAAACCATTACTTTCACTTCACAGCAGAAAAGTATACATTCAAATCATTAAAAGGTCGTAAAGAACAGTGTTATTTTGAATGATTTCATGCAAACCAATCATGATTCAAGCTTCACATAAACAAAGCATCCCAACACTTGATAATTCATTGCTTAGAGTTATGTTGCAACTTTCCATGTTGATATTCTGAATGAAAGCCCTTTCTTCTCTCCAACTCATTCTTTTCCATCAACACAATTTTATCAAACATTCACTTCACATTCCAACAATCAAAATTATCACCAAGAACCATGTTCACTGATTTGTACTCAGTAAAGGATTCTATCAATTAATACGAAAAACCTTCCAAAACATTAAAGAAGTTCGTAACTCATACCCACTTTAACCAAAATAGAATTTATTCAATGTAGTAGTTAATGTGGTGTCACGAAAAGGGGGACTCGGAACTTGATGTAAAGATCCAAATCTCAATGACATGGAGAACTTTGTCCACACTCCACACATCAAAGTAGCATCAAATGCGCATCAAAGACCTTTTTGGGCCATGCTCCCAAACGCCAACTTATGGACTCATAGCGAATTCCCACCTGGGCCAATAAGGAATAAGCAAGTAGCGAACCGGACGAAGCCGCCGGGAATCGAACCCGGCCCGATCCCCAGGGGCTTTGGAAATCTACGGAGGGTAAAACAGGGCAGCCTGGGGGGGAAGGGGCGGGTGATGCCGGCCCGGCCCGGCCTGTTCCGCCCGTCACGTCCGTCATCTCCGAGAACAAGGTCGGGAGCGAGGGTTTTGATCGCAGGATTAATCTCAGCTTCGGTGTCGCCATCGCCCCTCTTGTGGGAGCTCCGTTGTGCGGCGTTCGCTCCGACGTTGGTGATCTGGTCGCCACGATTCAAGGGACCGTCATTTGGTGAGGGACCGTGTATTGTCGTGTCTGTCGGGACGGATCGAGTGGACGCGACTGTGCTTGGGAGCGAAGCTTGGTTGTGCTTTGCCTGCGTGCTGTATTTTGGTGAGTGGTGATCAGGGATTGGGATGGTAGCGTAGGCGGTTTTCGGCGAGGGACGTGAGTTTTGTTATTGTGATGTAGTGGAATTGGCACTGGTCGCTAGAGAGGACTTCAGAGCAGGAGGATTTCGGTAGTTTTGTTGGTGTGTTGTGGTGAAACACACTTAGGCTGTTGGATGAAGCTTGTGTGGGATAGGAGTTGGTGAGTACAGTCTGTAGTGATCTGTTTTTGGAACGAACGGAAGTGGTTTCCCTGTTTTCTAGGCATTGTTCTGAAAGTGAACGGTATTGTGGTGAGGTTGAGGGTTTTGTTCTTGCGATTGGTGTTTTAGGGGATATTTCGGGCATGGTTTGCGACGAGGTGGAATTGGGAGGTTGCATTGATGCGTGGGCTCTGGAATGTACGTAGTGTCGTCATTGTCTTAGTGTTTTTTTTTCCTTCTTACTTTTTTTCTTTGTTTCTTTTTTCCATTTTTGCCCCCATTTTACATAGGTGTGTTCTTGTTTAAACCTTACTCAAAGGCGAACGAATGTTGTACATTTGAGTTAGGGTTTTACTTAACTAATCGTCGGAAGTTTCGCACTTTTCAGGTTTCGGAAGGAATGACATTAGCCTGAGGAGATCTGTGTTTCACACACACACATCTATCTATCTATCTATCTATCTATATATATATATATATAATCACACACACATGTTCGTTTGAAGGAATTAGGTTCGGAGTTTTAGTGTGGTGCTAGGTTACATGAGGGTTTTTATTACTCACAGAATAGGATTATTGCATGATCTACTCGTGATTCTAAAGCTTAAACCGCTGCGTGGAATCCTTTCGCCACAGTTCTGTTGTGGAGAAGGTAGCTCTTCGTTGGGGAAGGACGTTTACAGGTGTCATGGAGTAAACTAGTTGGAGTTCTCCCCATAGCTATCTTGGTCGCTTTTAACTGGGGTGGATTATCGACATATTTGAGGAAGGGGAGGTGGTCCACTAGGTCCTCGTGTTTGTAGTTTGTTTGTCCAATAGATTTCATAAGTGAAGTTGTATTGCGTCACACGCTTTGAAGCTTGATTGGTGCATCCCATTCCTGTACCTCGAAGTAGAATTTACCATAGGTTAGCTATCAGAGTTTGGTCGTTGTGAGCTCTTCAGGAGAGAGTGATCAGTTTAAGAAGGCTGGTCGCATTCTGTTCCAATGGAAAACGCACCTGGAGGAGATGCAGAGCTTGTGTGTAAGACACTTCAGGTGGAGCACAAGCTTTTCTATTTTGATTTGAAAGAGAACCCTCGTGGTCGGTATTTGAAGATTTCTGAGAAGACTTCCGGTTCTCGATCTACTATAATTGTTCCCGTCGCGGGCATAGTTTGGTTTGTGGACCTCTTTAATTATTACGCTAATGGTGAGGAGGAACTCTCAAGCAAGGAGCTACAGCTGGACACTAAGGTACGGGCTAGCTGAAATGTAATTATTTAAGCCTACTTATTGTTTACTCTAAGCATTGAGTATCTAAGGTCACGAGTGCATGAAACAGTACTCGCAATCGATTACTTCATGAATTTGAGCATTTCCGCTTATTATCGCAGTTTCGTGTTGTTTAATGGACGAAAACGGTGTGCCTTGTCGCTGGTTTTCATGTGCATTGATATTGCCGGCCATGTTACTATGTGTGAATCTTGTAATGAAGCCCCTTGCCCCTGGTTGCTTATTTTTGTTTTTCGCTGATATCGAGGTGATCATTACAGGTGTTTTACTTCGATGTTGGGGAGAATCAGAGGGGTCGTTTCTTGAAGGCAGGCATTTTTCATTAATATTTGATGTTGGTTTCATATATGACGTAAACTGGTCTTGGATGTGAAATGGCGGAATTTGGGGAACTTAGCATTGGTTATTCTGATTCTGCATGAGTTGCGCTCTGTGTTCGTTACAACACTTGCTAGTAAATCTTTAGATTAGGCTTATTGTCCTAAGGAAGCTGTCTTCTTTCTCTGATTTTGATGGGAATATTCTAAGGACCTTCTCAACCAGGATTTGTTTTTCTCCACTTCGATTCGCACAGTTAAATTTATTTTCCTCTTTTCGAGGTTTTCTTGTACTATTCTTTTGTGGAAAGTGAACAGAATTGATTGTGCTGTAGGTGTCTGAAGCCTCGGTGACCCGTAACCGCAGCACTATCATTGTGCCTGCCGGGAATGCAGCTGATGAAGGTTGGGCGGCATTTAGGAATATCCTGGTCGAAATACACGAGGCGTCTCAACTTCTACTGCCACCGACAGCTAGTTCTGGGCCCCTTCAGGTTAATGTTGCTATCCTCTTCATCCTGTCTAAACGCCCTTAGTTGGTGGTCGATTTTATTTTGTTAATGCGCTTTGAGGATGCTATGTCGTGGTATCCCGTTGATTGTCAACCTCTCTTCATAGCATTAGACTAATTTTATGTGTACGATTGTTTCTGCGAATTTTTTTCATTGAAGAAGGCCCTCAATCTGAACTGTGTGTTGTAGGTCACATGCTGTAATAACCAGTTGGGTTTTTAGATTTTTGTACCTCTCGTAGGGCAACAGCTTTCTTGATTGGAAAGATTACTTTGGCTGAGTCAACTCTTTTGTGGTACTGCTACTATTTGTATTTCGGTTGTAAGTGCCGAATAATTCAATGACTGCAGTAATTGTTCGTGTTGCAATCCAAAGCTCACTGAAGGTCGTTGTATTAGCCTGTGCAGCAAGGTACTAGTTCACAGGAACACATGGGTGTTATGTCAGATAATGTTGGTTCTGGATACCTTCCTAGCACCTCCTCTCCAATTGCTTCAGCGAGCACTGTTCCACTCCCTGAGGTGGGCTCTTCCAATGTGGGTTTGGCCGGAGGAGGTCTGGCTACTGCACGTGTTATTCGAGCTGAACAGAAGAAATTCTTTTTTGATCTTGGCAGTAATGCTAGAGGGCAGTACCTTCGGATTTCGGAGGTAAGGTTGATGCGCCAAGGATAGTTTTTCTGAAAGAACTTATTCATTCATTAGTTGGCTTCAGCCACCGCTCTGATACTAGTATTCTAATTCATGTCAGTGAATAACTGTTCTGGTTGAGTTGCTTAATTTCCTTTGACAGTAAGGGTATAATATGGTAGGAATTGAATGCGTTCAGCCCCTCTGAACCACCGAAAGTTGTGTCAAGACTCTGTGCTAGTCACCATTGAACTGGTTCTTGATTATGTTCATACGAATCTTTGATATTATTGTGTTCATGATCGTGGCTTTCAGGTCACAGGTGTAGATCGGTCTGCTATTATTTTACCAGTAGCTGCGCTGGCTCAGTTTCATGAGACCCTGGGGCAATTTGTTGAGGTGGTGAAGAGTCAAGGCCCGATAGGCCCAAATGTGGCGAACGTACGCACCATTGCACCCCCACGGAACAGAGCTGAGAGCTGAGGGTAGTGAGTGAAGCTTTCGAAAAGCTTTAAATTGAAGCAGCCTTCAGTTTCTTGGTTATTTTATCAGTGTTTTTCTGTGAGGAGGCCCCACACTTACATATGGACTTGCAAAGTTTATAAGTTTAAGTGCTGCAGAAATGATGTGGCCAATGAATACAGTTAAATTTCTGGGGTTCATTTTAATGTTCAGCTGACTCTTTTACTCTGTAACACTTGGATTAATGTAGCTTCTCACACCGCGGGGGCTCGCTATCTACTTGTGAGTGCAGGGGCAACGTTATGCTGAGACAGAGACAATAATTTGAGATTGGTGCGGGAGCCAAGTAAGAGCTTCTCTCTTTTGACATTTTTCTATGTAGTTTGGGGTACATCGATGAGTAGATGTTTATATAAACTTTTACGGAGAAGCCTGCTGGTCTCTTGTGGTTAAATTGGGCAATATATTGCCATTTTGGCATGTTGTATAACTTGACTTGCACTCTGGTAATACCATTCTTTTCATTTTTTCTGAATCCTCTACTAGTTAGTTCTCTACGTCTATCTCAACCAGAGTGCCTTCTTGCTTCTTCTTTTTTTTTTTTTTTTTTTTTTTTTTTAAGAGTTTTTGTTGTGAATTTGGGTAGATTGTCCATGCTGGAGAACTATCCTAGGAGCTTGGGTGGCCAAATGATCCCATCATCACCGATACACTTGCACCAACATACTTACTACAGCGGTTGTACTATCTTTTTACATTTGTAAGAAATTGTACATGATAGATTTTTGTCGTCTCATTTTATTTTAATTGTGTTTGTCGTATTTTTTTCCTCCTACAAATCACATTCCTTCTCCCTTCCCTTCTCCTTCCCTAGCATTCCACCTGAAACATCGATCCATGTTATTTCCCGTAAGGCTGAAATGTTCCACAAAGTCTATTCCTGTTTCTGGTATTCGTGATAAGTGCCACATTTGTCCGTCAAGTTTGTTGCTGCAGTATCAAGTCTGTTTTTATGTTCTGAACTGAACAGGGTTGTCATTTTGAATCACGAGCAAATAGATGATAGCTAAGATTTCCACAAGAGCTACAATCATCACGTGATGAATACAAGTTTCCACTGCATGTGCACGCCCGCTGAATGAAGTCGGTTCACCAATTTCTTTATTGCAAACCTGACTGCTGAAGTGAACTCTCACTTATCATTTTAAATACTCGTCGGCTGAGTCCTGCAGTCCATTTTACAACATTGCGGGTCGAGCATGTACGGAATTTTACACACATTGGTGGTTCAAAACTTGTACTTTTAAGTGGAGATTGGCACATATCTAATGTGATGAAACGTAGGTTTCAAGTCCGTATCAGTTACCAGGTGATGATTCTCTCTTGAAAATACTATTTTTTTTCTGTTCCATTGATCGCTTTTTGTATGCATACCATGCAAATATGTGACCTGAAGGATGCTATTATCGCACACCTCTTCTCTTGGTTTCTTTTATGCCTTAAATGTCCAAGCCCAACCTGTTTTCGTTTGGAGATTTTGTCTACTTCCACCAGGGTTTATAATGAATGAGCACTCGTCGAAATTATCTGTACCTGCCCTAAGCTAGAAATATTTCAAAGTACTTGGGTTTAACAGGGAATAGAATATGTTCCTATAGTAGCAGTGATGTAATGCTAACCACTATGTTACAGACTATGGTATACGTGCTGCTCATGTGGTGGTCAAAAAGTCAACTGAGCAGTATATAGCAAAATACCCCGTTTAGTATCATGCTTTAGTCACTCAAATCAAGTCTCAATGCATGTTTTGAATTTTACTTCTGTATTAAAATCGTCCGTAGTTTCGTTGAAATGAATCTCATCTTACAGTATACCGTTGAAAATATGTGAAAAGGCTACCTTATGCAAGCAGTATGTTAACATTGTCGCACTTAAATAATTTAAAGCCGTTAAATAGTATTCTTCAAAACCACTCGTATAATCAGAATGTGGACAATAGTTTAACATTCTCCCTTTGTTCTGATGCACTTATTACAACACAATCTTCAACAAGTTCACGAATATAGTACGTAACAATTATTTCTGGAATGGAAAATTCCGCTGTCCTATCTTAAAACCCATTTCCACTTATTTGGTGCACAAACAAAGTGCAAACAATCATCTTGCTTTTAATTATCTCCACTAAAGACAATTTATTATGCAAGCTCTAATATTTCGATGTATAGATAAACAAAGACATGTTCACTTGGATTATTTGTAGGTTGCCCATTCAGTTAGTCCTCTCTGAACCTATCTCATCCCAGTTGATGAACGTATCAACTAGGTTGATTCTGTAGTTAATTCTTTCCATAAACAGAAGATCCAAAGCAGATCATTCCGGGTAAATTAAAATCTATATTCTATCACAATACTTTATCAGGAAAGCTAGAGATAGACGACCGTCCAAACATTCTGGAAAATGATACATTAAATATGATCGTGAGGACCTTGCTTTCATTACAAGACAAAACTAGATGAACTTCAACAGGCCAATTAATAGCAACACATACATCATTGTCAGAATTCCAATCATGCAACAGTAGACAAAATTTCTAGTGCTTCAGGCCATTATCAAAGATCTAGTCAGAAGTGCTATGTAGAGGAATAAGTTTTCATCACTAGTGATGATCTTGCATCACAGTTCTTATCGAGGATACGGACAAGGATACAAATGCAGTATGCTTCTCCATGTCGACATTCCCAATCGTACCATATGCGCCATGTGCCTCCTCATCTTTGATAAACACTAATGAAGTCCTGCTGATACAAATGCTTTTGCTGATATTCCAGCTGAAAAACCCATTTGCACCTAAAGCATTTGTCCTCCTGGTGAAGCTCAGTCATGTTCCAGGACCTGTCACTGAACCATGTAAGTTTTAGTCCTATTGCTCACACCTATCCCGTAAGTCACCATCTCGTAGAAAACAATGTGCTGTAAATCATGTAAATTGCTTCGCTGTTATCAATTTTTACCAATTTTCGCAACCCAGGTTGCTTGAAGAATGGACTCAACTTTTCGTGTTATGTGTCTACTTGGGCTTAAAATCAACATATGAAACCAATTCACCCTGACTCATGCGCATATGATGGGGCTGATTTGATGTCGAAGGTGGATTGGGTACAGACTTGGCTTATAAATACACTTCGCAAGCAGCACGCGTGATCTGGTGGATTGTGAATCGTACACCAAGATACTCTGCCTTGAGAACTCAGCCAATTCGAACTGGTAAAACCGAAAAAAGTGTAGCTATCTCCGAACGTGTTGATGACGTCCGTCGAAATGTCTGTCATAGTTCCTAGATCTGAGCACAAGTCCAAGCCAACTCATACTTTAGGGTAGGAAAGATATGTATTCCACACGGTCTTGAGATGGAATTAACTACAATCGTTTTCAACAAATGTTGTTGCATTACAGCAGTCAGAACGACAACTCGTTACTAACATTTATCAATGACAAAAAATGCTGACCGTTTTTAAAACGAAGTCATCCATATCCTAATTGCTAAACAAATTTTGGACTTGCGTCACAAGGATAATGGTAAGATCCCTGCCAATCGACTTCAGTAATCAAGAACAAATCATCTGAACAAGTCATCGGTCAATATGATTCCAAGTATACATTTACATTTCACTTAGAATCATATCAAACCGATTGATGGTGCATGCTGAAGTGCCTCTGCGAAGTTTGACCAAGGGGATGCGAACCTGGACTCATTTCTCACAACGCTTGAGGTATCATTGTTATCGTCATCAAACCGCACCACAGCACCAGCTGCTTCAGTGTCGGCTATTCTCGAATGTTGAGCATTTCCAGATTGATGCTTATAATGGGACATCGATGAAATGCTTCCTTGCTCCTGTTGCTGACTTTCAACGGGAGTGAGCAACGGCTGTTTGAGGGAACATCCTATACCTCCCGCTTCCGTAATCTCTGTCATGTGGTTTTCTATAATATCATGCAACACCTGCGAAATCCAATAGAAAAATGCGGTAAGAGCTAAACAACAAGAGGCGAAGATAACAGTGAGTGCTCGACGAATATCTAAAGTAGCTAACCACAAACAATCATGCAGGGAAGCACTACCTGTCATGACAACCAAAATGTAGTCAACATGGTGACTAGCAGATGTACAAGTAAAAAGGTAATAATGGACAAAAACTACACCTGCAGAGGCGTTCGCTTCAGTTTCTTTCCGCGATATGACATCCGCCTCCGCTTGTAGTCCCGCTCTTCAGCCAGTAACTCGGCTTTTGTCTTATTTCTTTTTTCCTGTGATACAAGCAATAATGATAAATAACGCATTTATCAAGTTTCGCAATGAACAAAACAGAGGCCAATAATTCCCTACTGTGCTCCTACTTATATGCCTAGTATCTTGGAACGAGATTTTTACCAAATTATTAAGGGAAATCAGTTCATGTTACGGGCCAGGGAAAAGGTTTTCTCCATGTGGCTTGATATAAATAGGCAGAACAAGTAAAGGGATGTGTGAAGCAAACAAACCTCCTGATGAGAACGCTGCCAAGTAAGGCCGTCATGCTCACAAACAGGATGGTAATCAGAACGCTTCGCTCTCTCGTTGTTTGCAGACATTACAGTCACCTCGTAATTTGCAATCCTGCAAGCATCAAATAAAACGAAAGATGAGATGTCAGTTATGGGCAACTTGGACCAGAAGTAGAGTTACAATACATTAAACGACATCAACTTTCACCTCTGAAATTTGTGGATCATTAAAAGTTAGTTCACCCGCTGCAGAATTAGAATGAAAATTTAGTCTCAGGGTGGATGCGCATTATTACCACTGAGGTTTCGGGACATTGTTGAAGCTCAACCATGATTTAATATATCTGTCAAAATTGGCTCTCTCGTAAATGGCATCCATCGCAGCACCAACCAGCTTCACATCCAACTTATCCTCGAAAGCCACCAGATTTGACGTATAGACGTGTGAATTTTCGTTTCTTTTAAGAGAGATTTTACTGCACTTTGTGAAAGCCTCAGATTCTTCATCGCACCGGGCAACGGCATTCACATTCTCTCTTCTAGACTTGAAGCCATTATGTTGCAAGTGAAAGTCCAGAGGAACAATAGACAAAAACCTTACACTTAATTTGAGGCATTGCTTCAATATAGCAACAACCATCGCTCTACTACTAGTATGTCCATAGAGATGAGACAACCACGATGCTAACCAAGTACTGGCTTCAGAAAACATAGCACAATCTACAACCTTTGTGTCAGATAGAGTGAACGCATCTCCCTTGCGTAAACACTTGACAAAAGTTTCATCAAAGACTGAAAGGGATTGAGTTTTCAACGCTCTTAAATAAATCTGCACAAGACAAGAAATGTGAGCAGCCATTGGAACATCTAGGACCACCCCAAAACCAGGCGAGTGCAAGAGTAACCATTCCACAATCGAAGCCTTTGTCACCCACTCCAATCCTATTGCAGCGGAGAGCACCGTTCGTGAACATTGAGATGGCATATCCGTCCAAAGTCCTAATTCCATCTCTAATTTCCATAACATTGATGGCAAAAGTTTGACGCAGCTCAAATAAGACTCTCCATCAGCATGGCAATTATCTACTCCAGCATTGTCGATCGCTTTAGGTGAAGTTCCAGCACTTCGAAGGTTCGTTTCTTCGTTGTTCATCCCCTTTGAGGTCGTATATCCACACTTTTCCAACTCTTTTCTCAGAGAGTAAGGCATAGTGGACAAGACATCATAGGAACCAGACGATGAATGATGTGCCACGGATGTCAGAACAACACCTGGAGCATCTCTGTAAAGGAATAATGAACCCTTTGGATCAAATTCTTGCTTGGTCGTGGATAATGTCAAGCTTCCGCGTTCTGACTTCTCACTCTGATTAGACCTCCGGACTTTGGCATTCACTGGAGAAATCTTCAATAAATTTTCAGTATTCCCTTCATCATGTACTAGAGGCTCAGCAGAACCCAAATCCAAGGATCGTGGATACTGTAAACAATCAAGAAGGGAGCTAGCCTCGGGTTTGCCAATCAAATGTGAGGGGCATTGAAGTGTATGACGATGCAGCGCACCCAGCGGAACAACATGATGAGGATCGGAAGGGCATACGCCCCACTCTGTTTCGGTAGTTAAATCCTCAATACCATTTAAGGCTAAAATTTTACTGATGACATCCTCCACCTTTTCGACAAGTCTGTGAAGATCTGAACTCTTTGGAAGAACCGAATTGTGCGACGGTTCTTTTAAGCTTGAGGCTTCTTTGACCTTTTCATCTATCCAATCCAAAAAGATAGGCTTGACCGATGAATGAGGGCGCACACCATTCAACCACGGCATTCCTGCTGATCCGCTATGACCAACAATAGAGGGGCTCCTGTAGTCACGTCTCGGTGCGTAGAATCCTTCATGAACTTGACCAGTTTGTTGTCCGTATCCCTGTTCCTGATCATGACTTGGAGGGACAACAGGAACAATATTTCCTTGCCCACAGTAACCAGGCTCCGGAACGAGATTCTGCGATTGCGAGTGGATCGTACTAGGCGACGTCGTCCTAGGGCTTGGGACAGTCCCCGAATAACCCCTGGGGTAAGGACTCCATCCTGGAAAATAATTATTAAAACCAGGACTTCGACCAACAACAGGATCCACATTGCCGTAAGCACCAAAGCCATGACCAGGAGGGCCAGGAAGACCAGGTGACGCACCAGGTCCACGTGGTGGATACTGATAAAAGCTAGGGGTATTTGGCCGAGTCAAATGCTGCGGATACGGCATCCCAGGATGAAACTCTGCAGCTGCATTCTGGCCCTGAGGCCGATGATGAGGCGGAGGATGGGGTTGTTGTGGCGGCCATGTTGCACAAAATGGCCTGTTTGCCATCTCCCACACGCATCACAACATCCAAACTTCCAGATGTTGTCCTTAATCTTCGATTATCGAGATCGCCCAGACCCTCTCTCCACCTCTAATCCCTAATGACACAGATTTCATACACAAATCCACCTAAACACTAGTCATAAAAATCGATCGCATGCTGCAAGCCGCGCATTGCACATCAAGGAGCAGAAGACGACTATTATAACCCACGACCAGCATAATCAAACACTACAACTGCAACGATTCAAGAAAACAAGCACACGAGTGAAGTAAAACATTCACAACATAAATATAGAGACAACCATGCTATGCACGACGCCTCAAGTCCTTCGAAAAAAACAAGGGGGCAAAAAAGAGCAAACAAGGCCATGACGGGGTATTCGCTGACAGTAATTGTATGTTGTGGATAGGTATCGATACATAGTGGACAAGATTACCAGCACATAGAAGAAAACTTCAGGAACAGTACAAACCGACATCGCCTAGACGCAAAACCTGCGTAAATTTGGGACACACAGAAACCTCCTTCGGACCTACGAAAGATGCGATCACAAACAATGACTGATTCAGCGAAGGAAACTTGCAACCACGGTAGAGTAAATGTACTGGTCATGGAGAAATTCACGCTGTGCGCATCGACAACCACGACTTCCTCCACTTCGCAGCTCCACGACGACGACGAAAATTGTGCACAACCCGCTGGGCTCACTAACAAACACATGCGCTCATCAGCTGTGACCTAAAATTCGCAGCGAGAGATTGCGATGGACGAAAACCCGAGCTTAAGTGAGAGAACGACGCAGGTGAAATCTACCAGCTGCGCTCATGTTCTTCTTTAATTTGGTTGCATGAATTGCACGATTGTTACATTTGTTGATATTGTTGCTTTTGTTTCTTGTAAGTTGTGAACCAAAATCCATACTTCAAACGAATTCTTTTTATGAGTTTGTGCATTTTTGGGAGTGTTTTTGGATTTGACTTACAAGGATTTCTGGTGCTAGTTCACAATGTTTTTGTCTGGCGTATACTGTGTCTACGTTGTTGTTGGCATAAATACAACTGGATTAAATTTTGTTCATGCGATTGATTGTGTTTCTTATTTAGAGGCCATTGCTACACATGTATATGTATACATATACATAAACAAATAATCTTATTTTCAAAATATTTTTTAAAGAAATTTCAATGCATATAAAATACTACTAAATTAAAGTTTAATATAAAGAAATAATTTATTTGTTTTTATTTTGGATAAATAAGTAATAAACATTTATTATTTCTACAATATCATCATTGGGTAGTAAACATCTTCTTCACTAATAAATTTCACAGTATTGAATAATTTTGAAGAAAGAAGAATAAATAAATAAATAAATAAAATTGCCTACTTGATAATCAAGTAGTGCACCAAAGTAGCCAATTGGCAAAGCTGGTAAAGAATCAGTTTAACGTGCTATATATATATATATATATATATGTGTGTATTCGAGAGAATTGATGGTAAGTTGTTTTAAATTGATAATACACGTTACCCCCCCCCCCCAAAAAAAAAGAGTTAAAGTATGAGATGAAGTTGAAATAATCTAAAAAAAATCAAGAAAATTACCAAAAGAATTTACAGAACAAATTATGTGAATTTTTGAGGGGAGTTAGAGAAATTTTACGAAAAGTACAACCCATATTTCAATTTTTTTAACCCATCGCAACGAGTTTTAATCTTAATATTATTATGTAATGAAACCAAAACTCATACATAGATCTTAATTTTTAACAGTATAATTAGAGTAGAGGGGCCCGCAGGAACAAGGGAGCCCATCCCTGAGGTTTATGGCAGCATGGATTTGATGCCCCACAATTGAAAGGGTCCGCTCTGCTCCATTACAGCGGGTTTATCTTCGACTGGACGATATTCGTCAACGACGACTGAGCCGGTGGACAGAGCCGACGAATCGTCCACATGGGCGACGACCGACGGAAGCGTGGAGAAGGGCGGGCGGGCGGCCGGGCGGCTGGTTTGCTGCTGGGAAGAAGGAGGCTTTGCATTGTTGCGGGAAGCGAATCGATCGCGAGATGCATGGAACGAACCCAAGCTGACGATGGGTACATCAGCCTCAGCATCTTCAGTTGCCCAGTTTCAGAATTCGCTGGTTGGGTTTCATGCGTTGAATGATCCGGAGTCACGCGGCTGGAGGGCTTGATTCGAGCCCGGGATGGTGGCAGATTGCTGCTGATGCACAGTGGTAGGCACCATGGCGAGAGCCACAGTTCTAGAGAGTGAGAGTGAGAGTGAGGGTGATTGAGATTGTATTAGCGTTTTTGTTGGAATGATGCGTAATCTGGTACATGCCACAGAAATCGTCGAGTTGGGTGGCGTTGATCGAGATCATTTGAAAGAGGGGGGGGGGGGTGGACTGTTTGGTATGATTTTTTTGAGAAAAGGTGATATGGTGTCGGCTTACGGGAGTACTAAGTTGATGAAATTCCTTGATGGGGTTGTGTGAAATTGATGCGGCCTGAGCAGATTGAGGTTGGACGAAGATTTTGAAAATCGGATTAATAGACGGTTGTTTTTGGGGGTGATAGGAGGTGGGGTTTTGGACACGGGGTGGTGGTGGTGGTGGTGGTATTGGTGGTTGTGGTTTAAGGATCTGCGGGTGTTTGGGGAATGGTTGACATGTTCCGGGGTTCCTTTCGTTTGCCTCAAGGTGGGGGGTTGCGGTGGGTTGAGTTGAGTTGCTTGTCGCTCGTTCTGCACAGGTTTCGAGGAGAGTCGGTCTGGGCTTGGGCACTGTGTGAGCCGGCGCAGAGGAAGAGCTGGTCAACTTAAGGACTTTAGAGGAGAGAGGAGAGCGGTGCCCGAGTGCTTTTTCTTGAGGTGTGTAGGAATTTGACAAAATTTGAATTACGCCCTCGTTGGAAGCTGGAATCTTCGGGTGGTGCGGGGCCTTTATCACGACGGGGAAGTAGACGGCCATGTAGAGAGTAATTGGGGGTGCTCGAGACGCGGTGGAGGAGGCGTGGAGAGAAAGTACATGGGATGGGTGTTTCGATATAAAACGTTGTTGTGTGGGTCGTTGATCAGTGGATGCGGAAGCGTGTTGTGAGGTTAGTCTTCTTGTGTCACGAGCTGTAGGGCAATTTCTCTATTTGTCTCCAGCCCGTGTTTGACTTTACTTTTCCTACTGTGGGTGTTGGTGCTTCTCGGAAATAGTCTACTTATTGAATAAGCAAGTTTAGGGTTCCTTCAAATCAAGAGGAAGGCCTGGGCTGTGATTCTAATTTGTCTGGCATTCAACATGAGTATTTCAAGGTTGTGTACATGAATACAGTGTTAGAGTGTAGCTGTTTTGAAGTTGCAAATACTTCTATCCCTCGAGGCAACTACATCCTCAGTCAGTTCGGGATGTTTAAATGAGGATGTCTTCCGAATCGGCCACCTCTCAAGCACACGAGTTTCTGGAACGTAGTTACCTTTAGGTTCACTTAGGTCATAGTTTAGGTTTTTGTAAATCAAACAACATGTGTACCTGAGTGTGCTGACACCTACTTTATCAATCAAGTCCATCCTCTGATAATAAGCTGGGACGGACTAATGCGAGCTTGGTTACGAAGAACGTCAGAACACTCTGTTCTAGAGTTTTTTTGAGCTATGTTTTTGGTGTTATACGTCGTGTTTTTCCTTCTCCTACTTCATCCGGGAGTGTACTTGGACTGCAATTATAAAGATGAGGATTGAAACTGATTCGATAATGTTAACCTACTTACAGATGGAAGAAACTTCAACATAGTAGAGCGCCGTTCTTTGTAATACAGAACATGAACAGTGGAGGGGATTGCGCCATTCATCTTTTACAAGTTTAGAGTGTCTGGGGATGACAAGTAATTCTTAATGGCTGACAAATTTAAGGTGAAGTGTACAGACATCCGATCGTCTCACCGGACTCGTTCTCGGCACTTCGTTTCTGTCGTAAGTTACTGACCTAAAGCTGTCAGATTTCTAGCGAAAGCAATGAGTGGATGGGTACGTTGAATGCGATTGGCATCGCGCTTAATTTGGAACTGTTCATGATAGAATGCGATATCTGCATCCATCTCATTCATAACTTGATCTACATACGCTCAAGCTTTCGTTATTCTGAATCTCACAGTTTAAATCGAAAGTCTAAGATATTCATTCGGGTTGTTGTGTTTCAGGCATGGATTTAGAACATATTTCACTGGGTTCCCAGGGCCGGAGGGGTTATCACTGACGCTCACTCGAGGATATCGTAAATCTATAATTGGATTTGTTCTCATGGTACTACTCCCTGACTTCATTTCGTGTGGATAGCAACTAGGGCATTTATGTACTTGCCATTAATGTTAAATTAAATATAGTTTTTGCTTCTCGTGGTTGAAGTTTCTAGTGAAACGGAGTATCTTCAGTTCATATTTGAAAACGTTAGGACTGTATTTAGTACACTTCAGGATAGTGTATGAATGCAATACGCAGGCAAATTACACTGAAATGTGTGTTGGCAATCAGGTTTGTGAACTGTTCATTTGGCAGAAATCTTGAAACCGTTGTTATGTGCTGTGCATTGCGCAGTCTGTATCACGCCTGATGATGTATGCTAGCTTCGTGACGGTCAACGTACAGAATTTTTGGTTTAGGTATACTAGAGTTATTGAGATTTGCACAGTAAACTAATTGTGAAACGTTCAAATTAGTATGCAGCCAAACTGAACCTTACATTTAAATTGCAAATCTGCTCTACACAACATTGCTGGATTTTTTTGGCCAAGTGTTCTGTAGTGTTTAAGCATTGTTGTATCTAGGGGTTTTTCTACTGTGGCTTCACTGAGGAATACAATTTGGGTCTTGAAGGGCTGATTTCTAATACTTTTATAGTCTTCAGAACAGTGATATAGCTAGTTAGGTTTAAGGCACCTGTACCCCGATCTTTAAAGGTTCAAATTTTTGATACGAAGAATTATGGAGTACGACTTCATTGGTATTCCTATTTGATGGTTGGCTACATACTTGGGGTTAACAAGATTGTGCTTATTACGCAGGTCAGAAGCGGTTAGATCTTCTTTAGGTGCGGAGATAAACATCTTTAGGAGGCTTGGAAGCGAATATCTTTTATGACCAAGAAGTCATCAGGTTTTACACATTTGCCACATTTTTTTTGTTTGTGCATAATGAAAGGAACTGCGTTGTAGGTTCTGAGTAGTACATTTACTTTGGAATAGTTCTAGGCGATGCTTCCTACACGCGAGATTGTAAACGGCATCGTATTAAGCACTAGGATATATTGCAACATTATAACCATTGGTGGAGCTTTGAAGCAATTACATTCGTCTATCGTTGCGTTATTAGTCTGAACGAATTGGGCAAGACAGTGAAATGCTCCAAAATAACTTACTTTCATACATAATGGATTTCAGCCTGATTATTGTGTCATTTTTGGTGCGGAGAATAGCCGGGCCCCTAGTCGTATTTGAGAAGTAGCCTAAATATTCTGTTTATGATGTTGTCTGGGTTTATGTGAGAGCTTTGCAGTGATGATAGTGATGTTGTTGCATAGCGTTTTGCGAAGTTAGAACATATTAAGCAAAAGAGAAGATGCGACAAGTTCTGTCAGTCGCTTTTTGTTTCTTTTGTTAATTTTTCCAGTTGCACGATTTTCGTCCAATGATGGTGAATGTGAGAGGAATTGAATCTTTATGTGTATGTTTTTCTGTAAGAATTGTCTTATGTTTATCTGACGTCTGGTGCATACGTCGACACGTTTTCTCACCATGTAACTTTTATGCAAGTGTTGACAGGAACGGCCGCAGCAAGAAACGGATATGAAAGCAAAGGATTCTGAGCCGGTCCCGGGTAATCTTTTGCTTATCCGACAAGGGTATACGACAAGATTTCTGTCTAACGCAAGTGTGTTTGATCACATCAGTGTAAAATCTTAAGGCGCCTTGATCAGTTAACTTACTACTTCATATCACGATTCAATCTCGAATCGTTTATTAACTATTTGACCGAAATAATTGGGCGTTCAATTCCGTTTGTTGTCTTTTCTAGCTAGAAAGGTTTCTTTTAAGTTATACGAGCATCTCCAACTGTAATCGAGCATCTTATATCATGTCATATGAAGAAAAACTTTTGTATCATGACTTGAGAAAAGAATCTTCACTGTGTCGCTTTGTTATTATTACTGTTTTATGTTTTTTGTATGCGTGTGTACGGGCAAGTGAATGGTAGTTGACGTAATTTTAGTCATGGCATGGTTGCGTACGTTGTATGTTATTAGATACTGAAGTGCTACCAATGTTTTCATTCTAATTCCCGGCGTTGTTTATCTAACAGAGACGGACGATCAATTAGAGACACTCCAGAATACTATATTATAAATATGGCACAGATTCCTCTCATCCAGTCCAACTAAAAATGTCAGCACAATGAGTGAAGAGGAGGAAGAATTCGTGAAGGAAGATCGAGGTGGGCAGGTTCTAGAGTGTTAGATTGATGGTGGTTTAGTGGCACAAATGGCAGATTCTGGAATTCTCGATGGTGAAACTCAGGAGCACTCCTTTTCTTCTCTATCGAGGAGCAGTACTCAGTCGTTTGATAACTCTGAGAAGGTCATCAGTGAGGATATCAGTAGCAAATCAATTCCTGTAGCTTTCAAATCGCTATCTCTGTCCTCTAAATTTGATTCGTTTAAGGATGTGGAGGGTGTATGGTCCAACAAAGATGTTTGGGTGGTGCCGCCGTCAGACGTCAATGATGAAGTAATGGGAAGTAGTCTGGTTGATGAGTACGATGATGAGGATGATGAAGAAGGGATTTGGAAGAAGCATTCGTCACCAGAGACTATTCGTAGCGGCAGTGACTATTTGCATAGCAAGATAAAGCTTCGTGCGAAACTGGAGCGTGACTTCCTCTTAGCTGTGGAGAGATTACTTCAAGATGAAGGCATTCCCAAGGGGGAGGAAGGCGACCCCAATAGCTGGTTACAAATTGTAAGCAACTTGGCATTGCAGGCTGCCACCAATGTGAAACCAAATACTAATAAGGGAGGGGTTATGGACCCCGGAGAGTATGTGAAGGTAAAGTGCGTAGCATCGGGTGAATGTGCTGACAGTACATTGGTGAAGGGTGTCGTTTGTCATAAGAATGTGCAGCATAGGCGAATGATGTCACGATTCAAAAATCCTAAACTTTTGTTGTTGGGCGGGGCGTTGGAGTACCAGCGGTCTCAAAATCAACTATCATCTTTAGTTGGAGTGCTTCAGCAGGAAATTGATTATCTGACTACGACACTCGGACGTATCGATGCTCTTCATCCTAACGTCCTGCTTGTGGAGAAAACTGTTGCGGGATTCGCTCAGGACACGTTGTTGAATAAAGAAGTATCAGTTGTATTGAAGGTGAAAAGACCATTGTTGGAGCGCATCGCCCGATGTACCGGTGCGCATGTGATTCAATCGCTTGACAACCTGGTGAATGTTAAAGCGGGGCAGTGTGAACAATTCCGTATCGAGAAGTATGAGGAGGATCTAAATGTAGGGGTTCCGGGTACCAAGAAAACTTCCAAATATCTTATGTTTTTTGAAGGTTGCCCGAGACCTTTGGGGTGTACTATCATACTTCGAGGGGCAAGCACTGAGGAGCTGAAGAAGGTGAAGAAGGCGGTGAAGTTAGCCGTGTTTCATGCCTATCACCTTTCTTTGGAGACGTCCTTTCTGGCTGATGAGGGTGTAATGCCACCTTCTAATCCACTTCAGTGCATTCCTTCTTCTAAACGATCCAGCTCAGATAGCTGCATTTCAACCATAGCTGGTTTTACCCCACCAGCTTCTCGAGTACCTAGTCATGGTAGGAGTGACAGCCTCAATAATCTGGCGGTGCAGAAGAATCATGTACAAGCAGAAGATGTCGGAGGTGGCATGTCACAGCGGGGATCCAGTGACAGCTTGGAGGCTCAGCAATTCGCGGAGTTCACGACGGAAGATTTCCCTCCATCGTCACCTGATCATCAAAGTATCGTTGTGTACGTTTCAAAGCGCACCATGTCGAAGGGCACTGTTTGTGGGAGGCCTCAACTCAGACGAATCAAATATTACGGGTCATCTGACATGCCTATTGGAAGCTTCTTAAGAGAGTTTCTTGGTAACGTCTCCAAAACTTGTCCAGATTGCGATGAGCCAATGGAGGAACACGAGCATCGGTTTGCGCATTCGCGTGGCTGCCTCACCCTGTATTGCAAAGTCACGAGGGGTCATTCATTACCAGGTGAAAAGGAAGGGCAAGTATGGATGTGGCATCGTTGTCTTCGCTGTCCGCGCCCAGATGGGATTCCTCCACCTACTAGAAGAGTCCCTCTGTCTGATTCTGCTCAAAACATCTCGTTCGGGAAGTTTTTGCAGCTTAGCTTCTCTGAGCAGGCAGTTGAAACCATCGCATCTTGTGGGCATTATGTTTACAGGGATTGTTTGAGATTCTTTGGGATGGGGGTTGCGGTAGCATGTCTTCTGTACAATCCAATCAAATTGCTTTCTGTCTCCGTGCCTCCTCCTCAATTAGAATTTAATCTTCCTAGTGAGCAGGGGTGGTTGAAAGTCGAAACTCAAGAGATTGTAGAGCTTGGGGTGAATCTGTTTGCTGCAGCCAGAGACCAATTAAATGACCTTAGCAACTACACTTCCAAGTTAGGTCCTCAGCTCATCGACAACGGTCCTGGACCACGTGGTCAGCTTGCAGAGCTGGAGAATTTGCTGCAAAGGGAGAGAGAGGACTTCGAGGAGCAACTGCACATGGCAGCTCCATTGAAAGAAGGGGCATCTGAGCCAATCGCTGACATCTTGGCTCTCAATAAGCTGCGTCGCCACCTGGCATTAGTTTACAATACTTGGGACCTTCGAGTAAAGGAGCTCTGCGCGCATTTGAATGCCCTTCAGTATAGGGGTAGAGCTGCAGGTTTGGAAATCAATGGCCCCCCACCAACTACGTCGTCCTCTAGCATTCCGGCCTCAGTTTCAGAGGCTAGTGGTGGATCTGTCTCTCATTCAGAAGGACCGCCTTCGGAATCGTCTTCGGGAGATCCAGTGTCACCGGAAACTGAGAGCGATCCAGGGATGCCAGAGGTTCCAGAAAGCAAGTTGAGCCAATTACCTGAGGAGGTTGTGTCTGTTGCCCCTGAGGAAACAAACCCAGAACCTGAAGGAGCAGATGATCTTGGTCCAAGTGCTGAGCAGATTGATGAAGATTCGGACACGTTAAGTGACTCCGCAGCAAACGGTGAAGTTGTAGGCGAAAACCCCGCACTTACTGGAGAAAGTGCTTTGGATGTTGTTTCGAACAAACCCTCGACTTTGGGCAGACAGACCTCAAGTCCTCTTCCCTCCAGTAGTTTAGGCACGCAAACAGAAGACACCGATTCCCCTGCTTCAGGTGAAACGGCTCATCCGCGGAGTCTATCAGAAGGACATTTTCCCATCATGGTGGACCTTCCAGATACGCTTGAGGCCGCATGGAGAGGTGAGGGTGGGTTTAAAGATGCAGTTGCTGTGGATTCCAGGCCTGAGGTTGCAGAGGATCCTCTTGCTCCCGACAATGTTGTTGCCTTTGGTGGTCAGGAAGCGGAGGTAAGTGATCTCACAGCAATGACCACGCCATCAAGCCAGCCGGAGGCGGATGATAGTGAGGAAGTTGTTGAGACAAGTGGAGAGGACGATTTGGAGCAGAGCCGACTGACTTCTCCTTCAGAAGATAAAGAAGAGGTTAATTTAGCGGTCAGTAGACCTACATCCCCCTTGAACGATAAAGAAGTACCTGAAGAATCGGGTGGTGTAACAGGGGCTCCTTTGTCCAGCAGCTCGTACAAAGGATATAAAAGTTCAAGCTTAATGCAGAGCAACTCCATCGTCTATAATGCTCCATATAATAGGAGCAATACAACGGTCCCAAAAGTCAAACAATTTTTCTTACAAGGAGTCGCTAGAGTCCGTCTGCCTCCAGGCGTCAATGGTACAGTTGTTGCAGTTTATGAGGACGAGCCTACCACTGTAATTGCGTACGCCATCACGTCACCTGAATATCAGAGACAGATTCAAGATCCCGTGCAAGAAATCCTCAAAGACTCTTTCGAGGAGCGAGAATCAAGTTCTGGTGCGGAGGATTGGACATCTCCGAGTGACTTCGTGGATGATGGAATGAGAAGTACAACACCTCCCTTAGATTTACCAGGTACTCCCCGAGGAAGGAGGGCGGAGTCTTCTATTGATAGGGCACTTACCTCACCAACCCCTCTTACTGTGAAGCTGCGGTTCACAGACTATGGGGATACCGTGAAGTCAGAGTTTCAGGTGAATTGTTACTATGCCAAACAGTTTATTGCACTCAGAGCAAGATGCTGTGGGGGCGAGATGGAATACATTCGCTCTCTGAGCAGATGCAAGACGTGGGGCGCCCAGGGCGGGAAGAGTAAGGCGTACTTTGCTAAGACTCTTGATGATCGCTTTATTGTGAAGCAGGTTTCTAGTCCTGAGAAGTATTCTTTCTTGGAGTTTGCTCCTCAATATTTCAGACATCTTTGGGAGTCCATGAGCTCAGGCAGTCCAACTTGTCTTGCAAAAATTGTGGGTTTCTATACCGTCACTGTTAGAAAAGGAGGGAAGGAGAGAGAAATGGACTTGATAGTGATGGAGAATTTGACCTATGGAAAGACAATCAGCCGTATTTACGATCTGAAAGGTTCCTTGAGGTCCCGCTATAATCCAGATACAACAGGTACTCTGCTAGACCAGAACCTGCTGGAGGATATGCCAACAAGTCCTATTTTTATGACCAATAAGTCTAAGCTTTTGCTGGAACGAGCTGTGTTCAACGACACCAGTTTCCTTGCAAGGGTTAATGTCATGGATTATTCCTTATTAGCTGTGGTGTCAGAAGACCGTCAAGAATTAGTGATAGGAATTATTGATTACATACGGCAGTATACGTGGGATAAGCATCTGGAAACGTGGGTGAAAGCATCTGGCATCTTGGGAGGGTCGAAAAATACTACACCTACCGTTGTCTCTCCTAAAGAGTACAAGAAACGTTTCCGGAAGGCCATCTCTAGCTATTTTGTTGTCGTTCCTGAGTCCGAGGCCCCTCCACTCCTAAGCATAGGGAACCCGCCACCGTCATCTCGTGATTCTTCCTCATCACCAGAACCTGACAGTCAGCCATCTACGGGGGAGGAGGTCTAGTTTATCATTAGTGGGGACAGGAGAGGCAACTGCCGTCTGCAGCCCTCCTGAACCATTTCGATTTGAGTTCTGTACATTTATATTCAACTCCAATAGAGTCATGCCCATGCATTCATAATTTTCTCTTTCACAGAATGTGCAGTCGGTGACTGTTAGCCTCTACCTCTTCCTGTCTCTTCTCTCTACCTCACATTTGTTTCCCTTGCCATTATCTCCAGCACCAGTTGCAGCACATCTAATTTGCAATCAAGAGTGTGGAGAGACTGGTAGGACGTTGGTAGAAGGCTTTTCTGTGGAGTGTCAATTCTCTTCAGGATGTGTATTGACTAAAGTAAATCTTCAGTCACTCATTTGTCAATTCAATGTCGCTTGAAAGCACTAAAAAATGTATTGGTAGCTGTTTTAAGAGGAATGAAAATTTTATCAAGTCTTAGGGTACTGTTCTATTTAATCTCAGTATAATACAAACTATTCGTGGCTTTATCAAGACTACGTCATAGTCTTTTAGAAAACAGCAGTCATAATGTGGTTTGAAGCTTTGAAATTACGACTGGGAGCATGTAAGCTGGTTGCAGACGTTTTAAACTTAGAACTGCTCATGACTTGTGAAACCACGATTGCCTTGGAGGGAGTTTGGCGATCACAAACTCTCAAGAAGTATTCATCTCTGTATTTCGGTGGCCTCTTTTACTAATTTTCTGCAGTCGTTAATCTTTTTCGCTGGTTCACTTGATGACTTCTCTATGTGTATGAGCCTTGAATACATTTCGTGCACCTAATGCACAAAAGGACTTTGCTCTGATATTTCGGTTGGCCACAAGTGCATCCTGAGACATAACTGGGAGAAACCTATCTTCGCATGGATATTCACCCATGTTCACTTAGCACTGATATTTAACTGGGTTTCATTCTCACCTCAAATCTGATTCCAACGCTGTCAAGTTATGTTGTGTTTGCTACTAATTGTGTTCCTTCCTGGTTTTTGCTCTGTCCCAAGAATCTTTTTTCCCATGGTTCTGTAACAAAGGGCAAGCCTTGTACTACTGCAATTGTGGCTGTTACCCTAAAACACCCACAAGACACTGAAACGTTTTAACACCTCAACTCTTGTTTAAGAGCTCGAGGTTGTTGCAATTGTTTGCCAACCATGAGAGAATTGTACTACAGTGCATCCTCAGCACCGTGCACAATAGGATGTGGTGACATTCGCTATGAATCCAACATCGTCAGTGTCATGCCAACAATGAGGTCTTCATGTGTGGAATCAGCATGTGTTGAACGACAAGTTCAAGGATTGCAATTCAGGAGCTAAGACCAAGCACTCTGGATTTCAAGTACGATTTCAATTCATGCTTATTGGTGAAGGTGGGGGCTGTGACTAAGAGAACTTAGATGAGAATAGCAATGATCTTCAAGCAAATATGGAACAATTAGCTCGAAATTAAGAGGAAGAGATATCGATTTTGATGTTCATAGTATCGTAAGTACGGTTGAGTTGGAAATTTTAATGGAACACTTTCTTACCCTAAACATAAAACCAAAAAACAGGTTAAACTGTCGCCACAGTTACCGAGATAAATGGCTACCAGTTCTCGAGGCCCGTCTCGTCGTCGACGAATTTTTTATCGAAGCTGGACATTCGTCGTAGGAAAGAATTGCTCCGTCTCTCAGCTCCGTATCCCAGTTCATCTCTCACACTCATCGAGGATCGAAGGCTTTGATTGCCTCATCCAAATAAAATGTGCTGAATCCCGATTGGCAGCTTTTCTGCTGATGCCTCAGGAACGGAGACTGGCTAGTTTGATGCTGCACCTATCTTACGTTTCGGTCTTCTGCTCACGGATCCGGCCTTCGCTCTCGGAATTTTGGAGTTCAACAGCATTTCAGAATCGTCGCGTCGGGAATTAGCTATGGCGATGACCACAACCGCCACACCCTTAGGCCTCTCATCCTCGCATGCCTTCTTCTCAAGTACGTTTTATGGTTTCTCACTGTTTTGCGGACTGAATGCGCTACTCTTCCTTCGTAGATTGAGGAGCGTTGCTGAAGAATGTACTCAACAGAGCCGCGGTCGTCATTGAACTCAGCGGAGTCCTGCTGATGTAGTGATGGAGACTTTGTTTTGCTTAATTTCATCGCTCGGAAGGATTCTTTTGGGCGATGTATCGTTGTGAATTGTGGTCAGTGTGTTTGGACACTCTCCTGCTTTTGCATAAATCTAGCGACGATGCGTGCGAGCACCTTGGTATAGAATTGCTGATACCAAGCGTGTTTTCATGTTATAAATGAGACCTACGAATTCTTAATTTGTGGTCCGGATTTACGGTCCAGAAAGCGAAGTACTCGGAACTATTTTCGTGTTTTCACCCTCCTGTTACAATCCTTCGCCTCTTGGTCTTTTCACGAACCGTGGGTGATTCTACGGTGTAGGTCGATTGAGTTCTAAGATGGATTTCATCGGGCGAAGCTGTACATGGAGAAATGCTTAAAAGTGTATTTCAATGCATTTGTCAAACTGACTTTTCTGGTTCAAATCTGCGAAAGGTGTAGGCATTTGTTAAATCAGTTGCCTAGTGGAATAGGTTAGAACTCCATCATGGGAAGTGCAAACTTGGATGTAATATCGAAAACATCTGAATGTAAGCATTTTTGGATGGTTCTGCAGGAGATTCAAATGCTCTAGGGGCCTCCAAAGTTTCACAGTCTCGGATTGTATGGAGAGCTGTTTCAGGTCCACGGGCTCTGTCAAATGATTCCGTGGAGGGTGTCTCCAGGAGGGAGGCCACCGTTTCTGCGATTCTTGCAAGTTTATCGTTAGGTTTGGTTTATTTTGCATTTTTTGGTGAAGGAACAAGATGGAACTATTTATTTATTTTACTACTATTTTTGTGCGTGTATTTTAATGTATGCTTGCTTACGTTAAGTTACATCCATTTTGACGTGAGAGGAAGAATCTTTGCGAAACTTCTGGTGAAACAGATCTGAGACAAAGCAAAGAAAGAGTACTTTTAATCACGTGAATCATAGTCTCTCTGCAAAGGAACACATTTTGTGTTTTGCAGCTCTGGCTCGTCTAAGTTTCTGGAAGGTTTGTGTATGCAGCAACAACAATGGGCTTTGGTGAAGACGCAGTGGCTGTATCATCAAGCAGGAGGGCTGTAAGTGTTATTTCTATGTTTATTAATGTCCAAGCTGCCCTCGAGGGCAGATTTCTAGAAAAAATTGAACTTTGAGGATCATGCAAGGTTGAGGGTTCTTCAGTTACGTTTCTTCTTGAAGGTACTGATTGCATTCCACGAAAAATTTGTGCAAATAGAGTGCTTTGAAGGCTAGCTTAGAATTTTTGTTCGCTTGTGGCAGTTGCGAACCGAGCAGATTCCAGAGAGCGAATACAAGACACTTCCCAACGGTCTCAAGTAAGTATTTGGTTCCCTTGCTGCCCATCACCTCAGTTTATGTATGTTGACTCTGATATCTTTGTAATCGTTTGTAATACCATTTTACGCATTTATATCAGCAAGTTTCTCACCTGGATAATCTTGTGATGTATATGTTTTGAGAGTATTTTTACAGATATTACGATGTGAAAGTTGGAGGTGGAAAGGCAGCTCAGAAGGGTTCTCGTGTTGCGGTATTTCATCGTACAGTATATTTGCTACTAGGTTGTTGAATTCTACTGCTTATGCTAGACTTTGAAGGTTTTTCCTCTTTCATTAACACTTGAATGATATATTTCCCCATTTTTTGCTTTATCACAGGTTCACTATGTAGCCAAATGGAAAGGCTTGACCTTCATGACAAGCCGACAGGGCATGGGTGTTACTGGAGGCACAGTAAGTCTATGCTACCTTTATATTTTAGCTAGCTGGTTGTATCTTAGTTATGCCCCTCCGATTTTATTGTGTGTTCCTTTTCATTTCGTGATAATTCATTCTGAAGCTCTCAAGTTTGTGGCATAGTGAATGAGGAATTGCTTCTTATTATGCAGCCATATGGGTTTGATATTGGGGCTTCAGCATATGGAATTGTCTTAAAAGGTTTGGACTACGGTGTAGAAGGAATGAGAGTGGGAGGTCAGGTACCCAAGTTGACTTTCTCGATTTCTTTTGTTCTTTGCTCCTCTATACACAACTTATCCTCCATTTATTGTGGTTTGCTTCTTCCTTGCATGTGATTCCTTCGAGATCATTTGTTTGACCATCGGCCTTGTTGCAGCGTTTGCTGATTGTGCCTCCTGAACTAGCATATGGTAATAAGGGCGTCCAGGAGATCCCTCCGAATGCGACACTTCAGGTGAATTTTGCAACTCTTGAAAGACGCCGAGAGACTCATTTAAATCTCAACTGCTACGGAACTGGAACTGACTACCATATTTATGTGTTACAGTTCGATGTCGAGCTTTTGAGCATCAAACAAGATAATTTCGGGTATGTGTTATTTATCCTTACCGAGCTTCATTATCATTTCGTTCTAGTTGTTCTAAGAATGAGTTTTAGAGTATGTGGCCCTACGTTCAACTACATCTGAACTAATGAGCTTCATTTTGCCTGCAGGACTCCCGCTAAAATTGTAGAAGGTTAGATTCTTCGGATAGCACATGGTTTACCTGATGTAAAATTTGTACCATGCGAGTAAGGTAAACATCTGCTACACCAATTTATCATTTTGTACGTCTGCAACTGCTTTCTGAGCATGTTCCTCAAGGAACACATCAATGATACCGGAAAAATGTACTTACTAGAAAATTCATTAGAATCATAACACTATGTGTACGTAAGGAGAGCACTTAGATTTGGTCTGTGCGAAGTAGCAGTAGAAACATCCCCGTAATGTTACGAGCACTTCCTTGATCAAAAATGAATTTATTGTTGAGAGATTCTCAAGTATGACTTCGAATCTTGTGCCTAGACACAAATATTGGAGTGCTGTGATGTCGCATGAATTGTAAAATCCACCCATCCTCGCGATGTTGAACCCTCCTTAGTGCAATGCGACAGAGTGAAAAATGTCAACCTCTGGCCTTCCGAATGTCAGCGACAGCAGCATCTCTAAGAAGCGCAACATCAACTGTTCCTGCTACCATGTGGTACCCAAGCTGCAGCAACTTCGAGGGTGAATCATCACTGGTTGCAAATCCACCCATATACACTCCTAAAGACTTCAAAGTTTTCTCAGCTTCCCTGCAAGAAAAAACCATACATAAGCCCCTAAATAATCATTCATCAAAATAAAACGCTGACATCAACCTCGAATATGTACTCCCAACACTCAACCTTGAATATGTATTCCAGCACAGTTCAATTCGAATGCATTCTGCAAGTGCGTAATCTAACGACCTGAGCAATGCTGTTGAACTCTTATCCTCCGGTATTCGCAACAAGCCCAAGTCAGAGCGCAAGTCCAGAGGTCCCATTTGAATACAATCAACACCATCTACAGCAGCAATGTCTTTTATGTTGTCGACGGCTTGCTGAGTTTCTATCTGCAAACCATTGCCCGTCTCTGTCAGCATCCTAACGTGCAGGTGTACAATTCGGTAGGCTTCTGTGTCCAGCCAAATTCAGAGTCTACAGTCAGATTGAGAGTGCAAGTTGAAACAGTAGATGTACCTGACACATAATGAGAAGATCTTCCTCGCACCGGCTCAGATAGGAGTGATCAAGACCATACCGAGCCGCTCGTACTATGGGGTAAGCAGCCCCCCTTATACCCGCTGGAGGGTAACGACATGATCTTACTGCATCACTAACAGCATTTGCATCGTTAATCATGGGAAACATGATGCCTTGAGGTCCAAGGTCCAAAGCTTTCTTTGCCCAGACAGGGTCGTTTACTGGTATACGTATAATAGCAGGCGTTCCTGTACAAGCCAAGGTCTGTAGAATAGGAACAGCTGACATGGTATAACCAGGACCATGTTCCAAATACACAACCACATAGTCGTAGCCAGCCCAACCAAGAATCTCGGCGACAACTGGAGAGAAAGAGACAGAAAATGCTCCATAGAGCTGTTCGCCATTCTGGAGCCTCTCCTTCAGCGTTCTCCGTCCCTGTCCATAGCCTAAGATTTTTTTTTAAAATTGCATAATGACAATCATAGGATGAGGCTTACATAACTAAAAGCAAACTTCAAATCCTCAACATCGACAGTGCTTCAGCGGAAATTTTCATTCAAATTCCTTCAAATGCTCTAGCTCCGAGCAAAATCCAAATGAAGGTGTTCCTTATTGCAGACATTTCCACAATGCAAACGGATAGAATTCCATTGCACAGAGTTCTAGTGAGTTATAGAATTCAATGATAAGAGAATCAAGACTTCCATAGACAATGCACATTTTAACTCCGCCTCAGTATGTCTACATGCACACACTCAAACATCACAAAATCGAGCAACCGAAAAACACATTCATTAGCAGAAAAACAAAATGTCACAGTTTCGGAGAAATTGTCTTTAAACGAGGCAGATAGCCACTAAATGCGCGCGCGTGTCAACCACCCCATTTCCCCGCACCCAAAATAATCCGACCATGAATTTTAGAAACAAAATGCTGTACTGCAGCACAAAACCACCTCGATACAATTGAAAGAAAAAAGAAAAAAGAAAAAAAGGGAAAGGGAAAAAAGGGGGGAAAAAAAAAAACCGTGGACTAATCGATGCGTGAGTAGCGATACTCCCAGCTTTCATCGGCGCGAGAGGAACCGGCGATTCCAAATTCCTCCTCCTGGACAGCATCCAGCTCTCCGAATTGCCATTTCCGCCCCACAATCGCGTCCCATACCACTGGGCGCAGCTAAACGAGAGTACTCCGAGCGGCGAAGAAGACAATGCTTGAGGTTTTGACGATCGGTACACCAGCCGAAGAGGAGCTGCGGCAACAGTGAACACAGCAGCACACATGACGCGAATGATCTCGACAACAACAGCAACAACAACAGATGTTCAATCGCATCCACAGCAGATTTCTTCGCATTTGCTGCTCGGGCTCTCTCTGTCTGCTTGCTTCGATCGAAAGGCCCTGTCTCCGTGTCAAAGGCGGACGGACGGGTGGACAGGCGGACGGACAGACGGACGGACAGACGGAACGGCGACGTTCGTTTCCTTGGACGATGTCGGTGCTGTCTTACAGACTGACGGAAAGGCGGACGGACGACGTTCGCCTGGACTGCCGGATTGTAGACTTCGTTCAGAAATCGTCGATTATTCCAATTGAGCTCTGGTGTTACGTACAAAAAGCAATACTTACAAAAATTCTACTCTTAAATTTCTGTTTTTTTTTTAATGAAATCAAGTAATTTCTACGTGTTTTTTTATTATAATCTAAAAATAATATGATTAAAAATTTATCACATAAATCTACATATAAATTGTTGATTTCTCCTAGTTTAAAAAATTTTAATTAAAAATTTTAATATTTGAAGTACCTTTAAGGAATCTATTTGGATTTTTTGTAATATAATATCATGTGGGTGGTTTTCTATATCTTTGGTGGTACGATCGTAGCAACTTCAATGTAATAAATTTTCTAGTAATTAATGATTATTTTTTTTTATTAATTTTACTTATTCTAAAAAAAATGTTACAACTTATTTGTAGAGTATCACTTCACTAAAAAAGGACTGTTGAGATCATTAAATGTAGCTGGTGCTCTCCATAATATTTATTGTAGATTATAGTAAATACTATAGCTATAGTATTTAGAATCTAGTAAAGAAGTGTCGTTTATCCTCTCCCCTTTTCTCTTCTTGTATACGAGACACAACCAGATCAATAGAATTTTATGTATGAAGCTCTCTCTCTTTAGAAACCTTCTTGTGTGTATGACTTACTACTATTCTTGTGTGTGTGTATTATTTACTATTACTCTTATGTCTTTCTAAATATTCTCAACACGTTATCAACACGACTCTCTTCTACACACTATGACAATTTTTTTGCTCTAATCTTGACTCTTCAAACCTATTGCTACTCTGGCTTATTATCTGCCTCATGATCTTGCTGCTCACCTTGCTAGCCTCTCACACATTAGCTGCTTGCTTAGAGCACTTATTCCACTCTCTGTCCTACTTGCTTAGAGTACTTCCTTAGAATACTTGATCTAGCTTAGCTTCACCTCAGCTTGCTCATTGCTGCTCCCTGCACCTACTGCCAAATAACTGCTAAGCTACTGCTGAACTACTGTAAAATCAGCCATTGTCGTTGCTACCACTGCCACCCTACCGCTGTTGATGCTAACGCTTTGTCACGGCCATAATCATGTAAGCTAATAATTACATATAGAAATAGGTAGAAGTAAGTAAAAGTAGATAAAAATAAGTTAATTCTATAATATTTAATATAGAAGCTTCCTAGAAACTTCCTAGACGCTGCTTTGACTTCATAGGTGTCTTTAATTGACTTTTTGGATTAGAAACGTGATCAACAAGTTGGCCATGTGCCACACATGTTGTTAGCTTGAAGATCAAGCTAATTATGTGGCCCACACGTAGAAAAACTTGCCTTGTAAGTCAAGGCATGTGTCCTACAAAGTCAACACATATTGGAGGTCCTATAGAACGTCTCCACGTAGCTCCTAGTTAGATAGTATATATAGAGACAAGAGTGAAGGCTTCTTCACTCTTGTCAACTCCTTTCTTGCTTCTAGTCCAGGTTCAAGAGTCTTTAGTTTCTTGTCTTGTGGCAATAGCCATTCCAATTTCCTTTTAATATACATACTTGTTTATATTTTGACTTATTATATCGAGATAGCCTTTTTGTGTATATTTTCTCTCATCGAGTCTTTGTCCTTGACAGATTGACAAGAGTGCACTTACAATATCAGAGCTTTATTTTTCTTGAGTAAGAGTGGATTACTCCTTTCTCTTGACAAGACATAAGCGTATAAGAAGTTTGCGGATTACCCACTTCTAAACTGATATTATTCTTAGTATCTTCTTTGTTATCAAGTCTTTCTTTTCTTTTGTCTTGAGCAGTATCAAACAAATTTTTCTTCTTAGTGTCATTATGGCAGAGCTTGTTGAAATGAAGAGTGCAATGGCACAAATGCAAGAGCAAATGAGGGAGTTAATGCTTGCGATGCATCAACTCAATTCACCAACACAAGAAAGAACAAGAATAGCAGAAAGTGGGGATATAGAGATGATCGGAGCTGCTTCAACATCTACAACAAATCACGTTCCTTCTCCAATTGTAAAACACCCTGTAAGCACTAGAGAACCAAGAATTGCCTTACCCGAGAAATTTGATGGTACGAGATCAAAGTTTTGAGGGTTCATCAATCAAGTACAATTGGCAATTGAACTTCAACTGCAAAGCTATCCAACTCCAAGATCACAAGTCAGGTTTATTGGCACTCTACTTTCTGATTCTACATTATCGTAGTTTTCGTCTTTTCTTGAACAACGAAATCCAATATTGGACAATTTGGAAGTTTTTTTGGCGGAGTTTCGATCTATGTATGGTGAACACGATGCAACTCGTGTTGCAACAAATAAGATCCGAATTTTGCGACAAGGAAATCGCTCAGTAACAATGTATGCTTCACAATTTCGACAACTTGCAATTGACATGAAGTGGGATGATGCTGCACTCATCAGTCAATTTCTTTATGGATTGCAATATGAAGTAAAGAAATTGATGCTCAACTTACCTGATCCTCAAACTTTGAGTCAAGCAATCGATTTTGCGGTAAAATATGATAATCGACTTTTTGAATTTCGATTCGAGAATCATTCACGGGAACCTCAACGTTATTACTCAATGGCAACATCAACATCTTTGCCAAACGTACATTCGAAAGTAGAAGACATGTAAATTGACGCGGTACGTTTTAAACCCCTAACTGAGCAAGAAAAGATTCGTCGTCGTCAAGAAGGATTATGTTTATATTGCGGAGAACCTAAGCACACTGCTCAACATTGTCCAAAGAAACGACACAACTATAAAATGAGGGGTACGACGGTCACAGAAGACAACATGTCAGAAAACGGATTCGTCCAGCTACAATAGGGACCATGCAGCTGGAATCTTGTACAATTCCTAATGAAGGTCCTATCCTCTCCTCAGAACCCTCTCCTTGTTTTATAATAGACTTATAATTAGGACCTAAGAATTACAAAGCCTCTGCTTTATTAGATTCAGAAGCCTTAGCATGCTTTTTAGATGAAAAATTTGTTAAAAGTCGTAAAATACCTTTTATAAAGAAACCTAAACCAGTACATGTAGAAGTCATAGATGGTCGTCCCTTGTCTTCTGGAGATGTCACTCATGAAACTCATCCTATAAAAGTAACAATAGACGGTCATGATAGCTACATAGCTTTTAACATAATTAAATCTCCATCCAATCCAGTTATTTTAGGTTTATCCTGGCTAGAAAAATATAACCCTCGAATAGATTGGAATTCGTGTAAACTTGACTTTTCTCAGAGCATTATTAATAGTTCTACCAACCAAGTAAAAAATTATAAGTCTAGTATAGTAAAACCCGTACTGATAGGTGCAAAAGCATTTATACATGCAGCAAAAGAAGGATCAACTTTTGCTATTTATGCTGCATCTATTTCTGAAAACATAAAGACTTTAAGTGGCATTCCAAGTCAATATCAAGAGTATCAAGACGTTTTTGAGAAAAAAAATGCAGATATTCTTCCTGAGCATCGCCCATATGATTGTTCAATCGACCTCAAGGAAGGAACTCAGCCTTCATTTGGACCAATTTACAGTTTATCGCAAGATGAGATGGCTGAACTCAAGACATATATTGACGAGAATTTAGCGAAGAATTTCATACGCCATTCAAAATCTCCAAAAGGAGCTCCAATTCTATTCGTAAAGAAAAAAGATGGATCTTTATGAATGTGTATTGATTATCGAGGACTCAACAAGATCACAATCAAGAACAAGTATCCATTACCTTTGATATCAGGACTCCTTGACCAATTGAATCAAGCTAAGATCTATACAAAAATAGATCTAAGAGGAGCATATAATCTAGTACGGATCAAAGAAGGAGATGAATGGAAGACTGCGTTTCGAACCAGGTATGGATATTTCGAATATAATGTCATGCCCTTTGGACTCACGAATGCACCAGCTGCTTTTCAACATCTCATGAATGATGTATTTCGTGAATTCTTAGACAATTTTGTCATCTGTTATCTAGACGATATCCTGATCTATTCTAAGAACGTCGAAGAACATGAAATACATGTTCGTCAAGTATTACAAAAACTTAGAGATGCAGGATTGTACGCCAAGATGGAAAAGTGTGTATTTCACACTACTCAAGTTGACTTTTTAGGATACATCATTTCAAATGATAGTCTCGTGATGGATTCTAAGAAAGTCCAAACAATCATGGATTGGAAGATTCCAAGGACAGTAAGAGATGTCCAATGTTTCTTGGGATTTGCCAATTACTATCGGATCTTCATCAAAGATTTCTCACGAGTTGCAGCTCCACTTACACGCTTGACTAGTAAAGATAAATTTCAATGGAATCAAGAAGCGGAAGCAGTATTTGAAGCCTTGAAGACATCGTTTGTCTCTGCACCAGTCTTATATCGTATTGACTTTTCCAAGGCATTTTTTATGGAAATAGATGCATCAGATTTTGCCTTGGATGCAGTTTTATCACAAATGGGAACAGATGACAAACTTCATCCGATAGCTTTTCATTCAAGAAAATTCTCAGCAGCCGAGATCAATTATGAGATCCACGATAAAGAACTTCTTGCGATCGTGGATTCTTTTCAAGAATGGCGTCATAATCTAGAAGGCGCTTCTAGTCCAGTCGTTGTGTATACAGATCACAAGAACCTCGAGTATTTCATGTCAACACGCGTGTTGAATCGTCGTCAAGCTTGTTGGAGTATGTCTTTGTCAAGATTCGAGTTCATTATCACTTATCGGCCAGGAAAACAACAAGGTTTGTCTGATGTCCTATCTAG